GCAGTATCGCCTAGCCGACAACCGTACCCAGGCTGCTCCTTCAGCAAGGCGTCTAGTCAGGTGTCTAAAAGAGACGGGTTTGGGACCACAAATTCTCATCGCACTTGCGCAGCACGTGGAGGCGTACATTCACCGCAACGACCAGCTTGATGTACCCGACAAGCCTGTACTCTTCACCGTCGACAAGTTGCGCTCCGATATGCTCCAGTATATGGAGCTCCTCCGAACATACCTCTCTGTGGACGACTTTGACGCTCTTTTCCCTTCCCTGGTAGAAATGATAGCCGACTACCACATCGCGCCGGACGTGGCTTTTACCATCGCTCGTGCAAGCATATCAGCCAAGGCTAATGCTTTCCGGGTTGAGCAACGCTCGAGGCTAGTTTCTGATGCGCAGCCGAATGACGATGTTGCCATGAGTGGTGTGGAAGAGTCACCAGTCGTGAACGGAGAGCAAGAGGCATCAAAAGCAACTGAGGATGTGGAAATGAAAGATTCCGCGCCTGAAGACTCGACTGCTGCTGCTTCGGATAAGCTGTCTTTGGCCGATGTACCAAACGCGGAAATTGAAAGTCTTGCAAATCAGCTTAAACAACAGCTACCCGACGCCTTCGGCGACTATCCTTGCCTGTCCTACTACGTCACCTTCTGGCAGTTGTCTCTGCCAGACGTCGTCGCTGATGCCGAGAGCATCAAGCAGCTATACAAGGAGTCAATCGAAAACTTGGAGCGACAGCTGCCCGCCCCCGTCCCTGAGCGCCGCGGCTACCGACCCAACGTACCCAAAGCTGACTCCGAAGCAACGAAGGGTATCAAGGAGAACATTGCCAGGCTCAAGGAAGAACAACAAACTGTTACCAAGAACCACGCTGCGACGCAGGATAGTCTCCGCGTTGAGTTGCGCCGTTGGTTCGAGGGTATTCCAATGATGGGTCCACAGTGCGACCTCCTGCACAACGCTCTGCTCCAAGATTGCTTCATTCCTCGCAGTCGTATTTCTCAAGAAGATGCGCAATATGCGTTCTCCATGCTCATTTTCATGCACAGCTCAGGCGTGCCAGGATTCCGCATGAGCAGATTACTGGATATGCTCTTCAACGCCAACAGGCTTACGTCCATCATTAGCATGTACACCGAAGCGGAGTCCTCATCTTTCGGCCGTTTCCTTGGCGGCATCCTGCGTGAGCTGCAAGTCTGGCAAGAGAACAAGGACGATGCTTTTGTTAAGCGCGCCCACGGTTCGGAGAAGAACCTTCCTGGCTTTGGTAGGGGCTACGACGGAGAAAGGAACGTAACAAGCTTCTTCACGTACGATCAGTTTTGCATGGTCTTGTTCAAGTGGCATAAGGCACTTGCAACTGCACTTAAGACATGTTTGGAGGGCGGCGACTATATGCAAATGCGTAACGCCATCAACGTCCTTCACGCACTTGGCACCAATTTCCCTAGAGTAAAGAGCTTGGGCACCGAGCTGAAGGAGACGGTTGATCACTTGAAGAAGGCAGAGCAGAGGCAGGATCTTAAGAGAGCTTTGGAATCTGTTCTTGGTCCCATCCTCAAAGGAGAGAAGCTTTGGCAGGAGGATCATGTTTTCCGCAACGTGAGTTCATCTCCATCGATACGTCCACGACAGCGAACTAATACGCCTCAGGTACCAGCGCCCCCTGGACTTCCGACAAATGGAAGTGAGAAGTCGACTGCAGAGAAGGGCAAGACTCCACAGCCACAGGACACGAAGCTCGACGCATCTGCGCCTGCCTTTAAGACAAAGCCCGAAACGTAAGTTGACAAATTGCGCCCATATTATCAACAGTAAGACTGATCGACATCTTCCAGAAACGGTACCCCACTACGTGAATCAAGCGACAACAGGTCGAAGCATGATAGCACAACCCCTGCGCCTTCGAGAGATAGGGAACCATTCAGGCCAACGCCAAAAGCCTCCGATAGTAGGCCTTCCACGCCATCACAACCGGAGACAGGTTCTGGCAGGCCTCCAATCAAGGGCCCTCCGATGCATCCATCGTCTGTTCCGCTGCGACCAGATAACAGAAACATGTCTGGACACAACACCCCAGTTAGTAGACCATCGCACGCACTGCCAACACGACCAGACTCGCAACCGAGGGCACGGCCATCGGAACGCCCTATGGTCGACCGTACGCCCGAGAGCGCGCATGGCAGATATGACAGTAGAGGTCCTCCAGCCGAATACGGCCGACTAGATCGTACAGCAGATGCTGCGCGTCAGCGTGAGGCATCGCCAGGTCGGCGCGGTGGGCGACCACTACCTGGTGGCAGAACTCCTGAGAGGATGCCTCCAGCGGCCGAGCATCGCGAATGGTCTGGCAGAGAACGCGATTACGATGACCGGGCTATGCGAGGACCTCCGCGAGATGCGCGAGCGCCAGCAGTACGACCGCCAACGTGGGATCCAAGAGACCCTTATGATGCGCGGGATTCACGTGAGCGTTCTGACCCTCGAGGTTACCCTGCGCCTGCAGCGACGGAGCCTCGCCGGATGCCGTCTACTTCATCATTGGCCAACGAATACCGTCGAGATGGTCCTCCAGTCAACGCCCCATATGCTGCGGAGCAGAACGACAGATCTTCGCGACTTCCACCGGCGCCAATCCCAGCTAAAGAGGAACCTACAGTCAACCCAGCGCGTGCTGCCTTGATCAATCAAGCAGAACATGGCAGACATGGCCCACCCAGGTCTGATCGCGACAACCGTGGCGAGCGAGATTCTCGTTTGAACTCGCCGCGTCATAGCGATGATAGACGTGGTGATGATCGTCGAGTCGATGATCGCCCGCCTCCTGGATATCATGGTCGCAATGATGCGCCACGGGATCCTCGGGATGAGCGTCCTCAAATGCCACCCTCTAGTGGGCGAAACCACCGTGAGGATCCAGGAGCCAGTACTCCAACCGGTCCACGTGGTGGTCGCAACGAAGCCGCTGCAACATCCCGGGCTTCGCGGGAGATGTTCCAGCCTACACCTGGACCACGGGCACAAGACCCCAACTATGGCAGGCTGAACCAGCCTGCAGAGCCCGCGCCACCATCTGGCCCACGCAGCGATCGAACATCGCAGCCTTCAACACCGAGTGCACCCACCGGCCCCGCAGCGTCACTACCAGCAGGCATCCATCCTAGTAGACTGGTAAACATCGAGGGCAGAGCACCGAGCGGGCCACCACTTCAGACCAACATGCCGAACGCTCCAAGCGGTCCGCGTAACGGAGGTCGCGCTCCTCAAGGCCCTGTTCCATCATCGCCAGTCGGTCCTCGGCCCCCAACAGGTCCCGGAGGACCTAGAAATGCCGGTAACCCACTACGTGCCATCAACAACGTATTGACTGGAAATGCACCTGCCGATCGATCAAGCGAACGTAATGCACCTCATTCCAACCCTCCGGTGCGTGGTCGCGGTGCTACTCGCGCCAACGGCCCAATGGACGGATCAGACATGACGAGCCCAATGCCACCGCCCTCGCTTGATTCAACACCTAACCGCATGGACAACCAGCACCCAAGGAGCAGTCGAAACGACGATGTACCGAGCAGGATGGAGGGCGCTCCGCAAGAAGAAGGCCGTTCAGAATCTCGCAGTCACCGACACCGATCAGGCCGCGAGCGCTCACCCGATCGATCCGGCCGCCATCCCGAAGAGCGAAGCAGCCGCACTGCACCTTCCGAACGCGCAGAGGGTGACCGTGGCTCTGACCGTGGCCGCGAGAAGCGAGGTGGCGACCGAGAAAGCAGCCGTCGCGAACGCGGCGAACGAGATGGCGAACCGCGATCAGGGCGTGAGCCTCGCGAAAGCAGCAGACGCGAGCGTGGCTCCCGTGACGACGGACGCTCTTCAGGAGCAAGGGAGGAAGGACGCGATAGGAGGAGCCGTGGTGGCGGAGGAGGGGGAAGCAGCCAAGGAGACGACGCCCGCAAGAGGGGTCGCGATCCCCAAGATCAAGCCCATGGAGATACCAAGAGGAGGCGTTAGACGCGCCCTACTATTTCAGCACTTACGAGTTTGGCGTGGATGAGGGGGCAACACGACACTTGAACCAACATCATCATCATCATCATCAACAACATTCAAGAACAACCCAACTTTACACTTTCTTCTTCTTTCTACTTTTCATTGTAATTCTTCGTATTTGGGAACCGGGAGAGAAATTGTGCATTGCGCGGCGTTCTGTTTTTGTTATATTGCCACACCTGCCACAAACAGCGGTTCTCAAGGCATTTTACGATACCCCGAGGACGAACTTGGTCTTCGAGCGCATTACAGAAAAAACGGACGAGCGAAAGATTTGCATTATTGGGAGTTTTGCTTGTGCGATTTCATGGTAGCTGGTAGCTGGATGGGATTCCGGTTATCAAAGTTTTTTCTTCTCGTTGTTTGTATCATCATCAATCATGCCAAAGAAGAGAGAGAAAGCAGAGAGCGAGGAGTTGCGGATATGAGTATAGATATTTCGTTACTGGTAATGAATGGACGTGGAGGATATTCTGAACATTTTATCTGAAAAGTGTGATATCAGTGGCAAGCAAAACACCCCATTGAAATTCTCTATCAACATATTCCATCTTCCATCCTGTACCCATCCCGCCCAAGACCTAGCAAGACTCACTATATCCATCTCACCCGCAAAAGACCTTCCTCCTCGACACTACGCACCCGCCATCTTACACACGTACAAGCGAAGCCTGCTACTGATTTACTCGCATCCGCGCCTCAATGTAAAATGCTTCAGTACTCCTGCTCCTGCATGTACTGTGGAAACACTCCGCGGCTCATCATCCTGGAGGATCGGGTGTAGAACCGATATGGAAGGTGAGGGATGAGTAGTTATGTAAGGGGAGGCAGGGGTGGTGCATTGAGGCGGCGTTCGGCGGGTATAGGCAGTGTGGTATGCATTGGAGGTGCGTTCGGGGCCTTGTAGTTTTCTTTGACTTTTGCTCCAAGATGGAAGGGAGTTAGAGCTTGTATGGATAATTGGAATGTGCATGCAGTTGGGATTGCTGAGATGAGCTGCTGTGCGTTGTGGAACGCGATTGGTATGTAGGTCTGGATGGGTGTAGAAACGATCTCGCCTGGAAAAGAAGAGGTGAAATGGTCAAAGTCAAATTGTAGCCAAGATGGTGTCTTCATTCGTTCAACTACTGTTCAGTGTTTTTACAGCTGCTGGAGTCTCAGCTATACACATCACGGCACCGCTAAACCAAACCTACGACTACATCATCGTTGGAGGAGGAACATCCGGCCTCACAGTCGCAAACAGACTAACAGAGAACGGAAAGCGTAAGTCAAAATCTTCTATTTTGAATCCATACCCTCCCGTTCTGACTTTCGACACAGACACCGTCCTCGTAATCGAATACGGCAACCTCGTCAACGACCCCAGCATCCTCGTCCTAGCCAACACCCTAAGCTTCGTCCCAACCCCCGAGCGCTACTTCAACTTCACACCCGTCCCCAATGCTGGCCTCAACAATGACACCACGAGCCCGCTCGCAGCTGCCATAGTTGGCGGAAGTAGTGCTGTAAAAGGCATGTTCTTTGACCGCGGCAGCGCTGCCGACTACGATGCGTGGGAGACCCTCGGCAACAAAGGCTGGGGCTTTAGAAACCTACTTCCTTACTTCAAGAAATCTGTGACCTTCATGCCGCCGAGTGAAGAAGTGGCGAAGAAGTATAACTACAAGTGGGATGTAGACGCGGCGTATGGTGGACATGGTGAGATACAAGTCTCCTTCCCGCCGTACCAGTTCCCCGGTCAAAACCGCTTGTGGAATGCGTGGAGGGAGATTGGTGTGGAGAAGCCGAAGGAAGCTGCTGATGGGGATGCGATTGGTAGTATTATGGCGCCGAGTGCGATGGATCCGGTGATGAGGACGAGGAGTTATGCACGGACGGCGCATTATGAACCGTTTGCGAAAAGGGTGAATTATCATCCCTTGACGGGATATCGGGCTACGGAGGTTTTGTTCAAGGAAGGTGGTGAGTTGGAGGCTGAGGGAGTGAGTATGGTTAAGGTGGGAGGCACGGAGAAGAGTGTTGTGAAAGCGAGGAACGAGGTCATCGTTGCGGCAGGTGCGGTTTAGACGTCGTGGCTGTTGCAGCGCAGCGGTGTTGGTCCAAAGAGCGTCCTTGAAGAGGCTGGCATCGCGGTTAAGAAGCATCTGCCGGGTGTAGGTGCAAACTTCCAAGACCATCCTTTTAGAGGCAGTGTCTAGAACTGGACAACCAACCCATACTTTCCCACAGCTGGAGCCTTAACAACCAACCAGACCTTTTATGCCGAAGCCGAGAAAGAGTACACACAATCGCGTGAAGGCCCTCTCACAACATCGCGAGGAAACCAGGCGGCTTTCTTACCCCTCAAGACCGTCGATCCAGAAGGTTGGCAAACGCTTGTCGATGCCGTCACGGCTCAAGACCCGACTCCCTATCTCCCAGCTCAATACGATGAAACGCTCATCGCAGGCGCTAAAATCATACACAATATGACCGCAGAATATCTCGCACGCGACGACGCTGCAGCGTTTGAGTTTACCTTTGCAGAAGGACCCATAGGAAGCGCTGCGATAATGCGTCCATTGAGTCGCGGCACCATAAACATTAACCCAGCTGGTCCTGCATTAGGCCCACTGGTTGACTGGCGGACCTTCTCAAACCCCCTAGACATCAAATTCGCCGTGCAAGTGGTGCGCTTTTCGCGACGCTTCAACACGCTATCTTCTTTCGCTGGTCTCGGCGCTGTTGAACTCTCGCCTGGATCCAATGTTACAAGCAATGCTGCGATCAAAAGGTATTTGCGCAGCACGATGGATCCGACCTTTGCTCATATGGCTGGCACAGCGTCGATGCTTCCAGAAGAACTTGGTGGTGTGGTGGGAACGGATTTGAGGGTTTATGGCGTTGGGAAGCTGAGTGTGGTCGATGCGAGTATTGTTCCGTATTTGCCAGCCACGCATCTTTGTACGACGGTTTATGCTATCGCGGAGAAGGCGGCGGATGCTATTAAGGCGAGTACGGGGTGGGATGAGTAGGAGTGTTGGCGCAGTGTATGAGTCGCTTGGGTAGAACAGTTGTCCAGTTTGTACCCGATCATGGTTTTCGTGCCGAGTGTGAACTGTGCGTCTGGCCGGGAAACAGCAGTGTCGGTGAGTTTCTTGAAATGCCAGTCGTTATCAGAGGATATGGATTATTTCGCGATCTTCATGTATATCCTTGCCTGCCATGAACATGCTCCAGGCTTCGTTCCAGGTCCTCATCATGCCAATTCTTCGATACTCCCGTCTATCAGCGTTTAGTGGGGTCAAAACGAGGACTATCATCTCACGGCCTCCCCTATAGTCTTTTTGCACGAGACAGGGCACACACCAAGCTTCGTATCCATCGGATGAGAGTTGGTGGGTGCGAACGGTTTCACCACCAGTACCTTCCGGGGCTGAATGGATCTTTTTGTGCAGTCGTTCAGCCGGATATCGTTTCAAGATATCCTCGTAGACTTCCAACGAATCCAGTGAGACACTACCAACGAGGAGCCCCGTAGGTGTGTCGAATGCATGAACACACAAAGGGCGTGTCTCCTCGTCAACTACAGGTAGTGTAGGTTGTTTCGAACTTGTTTGACGTGGTGTCAGGAATATTCGCCGCATTTTGGTATAGATAGACAGTTTAGCGAATTTGATGTAGCCGAAAGTTGCAGGAGACCCTGGTAGATACGAAACTTCCACATCGACGACCTGTATTCCTTCTTCTGGAAGTCGGTCTAAGTAGAGCCTGAAGAACTTCACACACATACCATGTGCAGAGGCCCAGGACCAAGTCGGCGCAAGATAATTAGGGAAGTTCTCGTTGATGGACCTTGGTCCATCTCTGCGAAACTGATCATTCCGCGAACTAACCCACCAGCATAGCCCAGCTTGCAAATCTTCTTTCCACAACCCAGACACATAGGTGAGATTGTAGTTCTTTTGCATAAGACTTGCCAAACCTGCAATTGCAAGCAGCTTGTCCGAATCAACACTCAATGCCCTCTGACTGTAGTTCCCAGCCATATCGTACCAAATGTCGAAGTGATTACGTTGCTTCGAATCTGCGAGAGGTGGTATCTTGCTGACGATGTCTGGATGTCTTACTGTCAACCGCATTGCGTCGTTGGTACTGGAATATATGTTCTCGTTAACTTCTTCCCGATCATCGTATGACTCTAGTGTTTTCATACACGGATGATTTTCATTTGCGAATGCCATCACGCAAGACCACTCCACCGCGTTAGTGTTAAAAGTCAGTGACCGTCCTGACAACACCTCCTCTTGAAGAACCCATCCTCTTGTTTGCAGAGCACTGCGACGGTATTTAACAAAAGGTTGGATCGATATGCATTTCCGCAGACATTGTTTATCCCGTTTCAGAGTTACCTGAATGTTGCAAGATTTGCTACCTCGGGCGTCACGGTCACAGAAGAGACCTGTATCAGTGTCCGAACCGTTGGCTGCGAATATGGTCAACTTCGACTGTCGATATATGTCTCCCATCTTAGCCATTTCCTTTCCCACGTCTTCAGGATCATCTTGAATGATACAAAGAGCATCTATCCATAGGTAACGATATCCGAGAGCCGTGGTAACCTGCAAAGATTCTCTAAAGGTTTTGGGCATTGCATCATCGACTGGTAACTTTCGTCTGAACTGTTCATATAAGCCGGATCCCCTAGTACTCAGTAGTTTCTTTCCTTGGCCCCAACAATAACTCAAAGTTAAGTACTCTGCTCGCATCCCCATGGTTTCCATGATACGAGCTTGGCCATTAGTCTCGATTTCGATGACCCGGGTGGGTAGTATTGGTAGCGTCTGCGACGAATTGGTCATGTTACAAAGATAATGTCCCTCTTGACACTTTTGGACCCATGTCTTTATCAAATCCATGTTGTAGTCAGATCCTGTGTGGCTGTCGACGGCTGAACCAATTGGGTTGCATCGCTCTTCGGTTTGTGACGAGAGAACGTACGAGAGATCAAGCATAGTACTTAAGTCGTCTGCATCCCGTGTCAGCTAGGTTCATGAAACATGTTCATCTATTATACCAGAGATAGGCTTGTGTATCCTGAGTGAAACTAATTCTTCTCCACAGCGCAGCTTCATTCCGTCCCATTCTGAATATTGCGCTTTAAGTTCCTTGTCCGCGGAAAGCTGTCCCATAGAGAGCAAAACTGGTGCGATTTCGTGGTCGTTATCACGACGCGTGTGAGCAGACCAATTATTTTGGAATAGTTGAAACCAGAACAGGGCACACACTCGACATCCTCGGCCGGCCGAGAGTTCTAGTGCTGTTCGTGAAGGTTGATGTACGCTTACAAGTTCCTTCTTCCGACTGTACACGAATGATGGGTCTCTTAGCCAATAGGCATGCTGCACCCAGACCTCCTCGACGGGTACGAACACGAGGTCTTGACAAAAGTGGCACAGCATAGTGTAGGTCGATGCTGTACAAAAGGCGCACGAATGATTATGGGAAATTCCTCGACTGTGAGGTGAAAGAATGGTGGAGAACAACATCTACGCTGCGCGGGGAAGGAACCAAGCGGGGCTGTGTAAGCAAGATCAGGCAGCCAGAACAAACATCAGCCTCAGGACGCCATTGCACCTTCCAAAGCCTTTCATGCAGCATCGCCAATCAATTGTTCTTTTCGTTTGCCTCCTGAGGCCGCATAATCTAAAGGGTATCATATCCATCAATCATTGACTTGGCCGTATCACACTTGGGTCACTGCAACCCTACGATCCCGCGGCTATTCCTGACCCCAAGTATCATCATCACCAATCTCGCCCACAATCTCCACGCCCTGCTCCTCCTGAAAAGCAACCTGTTTATTCTTCCCCCTCTTCTTCTTGCCCTTCCCATTCTCCTTATTCGACCCGTCACCCACCGGATTCCCATCCTGATCAACACCAGCAAGTTCCCTCTGGCGTTTCCTCTCCTGAGCCTCTGCTTTTGCAGCAGCGATTTTCTCCGCATACTCTGCTTCCTGTGCCGCCATTTCGCGCTTGATCCTATCCGTGTCGGCGAAGGATTCCTCGGTCTTTTCTGACTTCTGCAGGAACTTGTTCCAGCCGTCGCCGTTGATCTCGCAACGGCCTTGGAGAGCGGCGCGGATGCCGTCGGGGTTATCGCGTTCTTCGCGGGTGAATTTGGTTTTGATGGAGCGGCGGGTGAAGCCGGGGAACATTTGGGATATCATCTGGAAATCGGTGCCGAAGGATCTGAGGCCCTCGTAGAATAGGTCCGTAAGTTCCCGGTCCCAACGTCGTCCTTGACCAGGCAGGAGGAACTCGTTGGGGAAGCGCTTGTTGTTCTTCATGAAGCTGCGGGTTGTGAGGCGTGCGGTGATGTCTTGGTCTTCAACGACAGTCATGTCGCTAATGAGACGGTCTGCGTCACCCTCTCGATCGATATATCCAGTGGTGGGATCTATTTCCATCTCGCCTGCTGCGTTCACACGAAACCTGGGACCCGGTTCAATCTGTGAAGCCGCCAGCTCTGCTCCTGCTTCTGCCAAAGCTCTGTCCTGTTTTTCTTGATCTGCTTTCGAAGGGATGTTCTTGTTGTCTTCTTCTCTTCGACGTTGCTTAACGGCATCCCAATCGATGGTACGCATTTGCTTCTCTCGTGCAGACAGCTTTCCAACGCGAAGATCCCGGGCTGCTAGAGTATCCATATAAGTTTCATTGGGGTCAATCGTCTGGTCTTCGGCATCGGATGGTGTGGGCTCTCGTGGCGGTCTCCCCTTCCTTTTTTTCTCCTTGACTGTGCCTTCTTCGCCTTCAACACCATCGACCTCTTCACCCTCTGGAGTGGCCCGTCTCCTCCTCTTTGCTTTGGGCTTGCGACGCACGGCTGCTGCTACAATCTCATCAGCTATGCGGCCGACTTCATCTTCTGGGCCTTCGACGACCTCGCTGCTCAAAGTCCCCTTGGTCTTCCTTGGCTTCCTGGCTTTCTTCGGTGGCGCTGGAGCCTCCTCGCCATCTTGTGTGGCGGGTTTGGTGGTCTTCTTCCTTGCACGAGGCTTGGGGGCGGCTCGTTTTCGGGTGGGCTGAGCCTCTTCTTCGTCTTCCCCTTCCTGTTCAACGTGTTCTGCATCTGGATCTACTGCAGCGGCCCTCTTCTTGCGTGGCTGGCGAGGCTTTCGAGTCGGCGCCGCGGCCACAGCCTCCTCTTCGCCATCTGGGGGGTGATTCACCGCTGTCCATGGAAGCTTCCTCCTCTTTCGCGGTTGTGGAAGGGCCTGGGCATCTGCAGTAGGGGCGGAGACATTCGGGCGTGCAGTCTGTTCGCCGGTGTTGTTTGCTGGTACCGGGGTATCGACAACGGCCGCAGCTTCGACCTCAGGCTGTGGCTGTGCAGCTACTTCCGTTTCTCTTTGTACCGATTGTGACGGACCCGTAGCATCTCCTCCACTTGCAGCGACATCCTGACCCGCTGGGGTGCCCAGCTGTACGGGTAGTTCTATACGACGCCGCTTGGGTGACCTGCCGCCATCGCCCGCGTCTTCCAAGTATTGCGTGGTGAGACCTCGGTCTGTTGCAGGCTGTACAGCGACATGAGGCTCCTTCTCAGCTTGTGTTTGGGTGGCTGTATTGGTAGGTGCTGGAGTGGGGAGTGACTGGGTAGGGTTTGGGGTCGGTTGCGGAGGCGCTGTGGAAGACTCGGCTGTACTGGGAACAGCTTGGGGAGTAGTCGCTACGGTAGGTTCCTGGGTCGCGGCTGGTGTAGGTAGCTGCGCGGTAGTCGGAGGTTCAGTCGCGGGCGCATTCGAGGGCTCTGGTTCGGCCTGCGAAGTTTGCGATTCGGCAGGCGCAGAAGGTGTAGGAGTCGGAGCAGCAGCGGCGGCAGGTCGTCGTCGTGCGGCCTTGGGTGCGAACTTCTTGCCCGTTGTATTCTCTAACTAGGGCTTAGCAGAGTCGGCGCCTTTGCATGGGACGACTCACTATTAATAAAAGAACTAAAGGTCGCCGCCGCAGGTTTAGGCGCAGGTGCAGGCGCTCTTTCGCTACTGGCAGCAGGCGGCTGATGGGGAGAGTCCTCGGCAGCCATGTCTATGCAGCACTCGTTCAAGCCAGGCTCTGGCCGCACGCACTCTTTCTCACATTGGCGGGCAGTGGTGGGGAATGTGCAGGACGCAGATGGTCGCGTCGACAGACACAGACCACGCCCTAGCGCGACACTAGCTCTTGGCAGTCCACCCGGGCTGCTAACGAACTCTCTTCGCTCGACCTCCTCACCCACCGGCCTCACACGACACACCCGCCCTCCTGCCGCTGCCTCTCGCCCGCCCGTCCCCTACTTGCCTTGAATCCGCTCCTTCATCTCCCTTTAATGACCTGAGAGCGCGCGCGTCTTCGCTGCCCATTCACGAAGCCGGTGTCTCCTCGATGAGGCTCGAAGCCAGGACCGTCGCACCCCCATCGCTTGACGCCGTCAAGATGGAGGACCGAAAACGGCCCATTACCGACGACGCTGCTCCTCCCGCTAAGAGGCAAGCCGTGACCGTCAACGGTGCTCGCTCCCACCCAGACGCTGACTTGCCGTGGAAAGATGACATCGAGGTTCGCCCCCCGATCACCTCCCGCCCTCCTCCCACGCCCACGGCGCACACACCCGCTGACCACTCGAATCTACAGTCGTTCCAGAAAGATGCCATTCTGCGCCAGATGCGCGAGTTCAAGCGCGAGAAGGCCACCGTCGAGTCACAACTAAACGAGCTGGAGGGCCGCTCCAAGTACCACGATGACCACCTCCGCACAATCGACGCTTGGTTTGATCAGGTCAGTACACCGCTGGAATTTGATTGAGGTGATGCTAATTGCTGCTTAGCTTATCGATGAAATCAAACTCCTGGGCGCCGAGAAACTACCTGCATCATCAGGCGATTCCGATGCCTCTCAGTCGGTACCCGCTGCGCTTCTGTGCGAGGACGCCCAGACGTTCAAGAAACACCTCTCGGACCGCAAAGAAAAGATCCTTGCATCCCTTTCCGACCTCTTTGCGAGATATCCTGCAAGCAGTCCTGAGGTTGCGAAACTCCAACAGAAGCTGTCAGAACTCTTGGTCACGGAGAAGGACCATGTTGTGCGACTACAACGCGTCACTACCGAGAAGGAGCAATTGTCTGACCGGTTGGACACGGCTACCCATCGCTACCTGGTCGCTGAGAAGAAGCTCGATCGCTTGAAGAGCGCCCAAGTCCAGAAACTCGAGCAGCAGGCGCACGGCACAAGCGCGCCTGCAAAGGAGGAAGCTCCATCTACTAGCAACGGAACAGAAGCCGTCAATGGTACCTCACCCGGACCGATCAGTGAAGAGCTGGAAACTGCAAAAAACCAGGCCTTGGCCGAGGCAGCCAAGAGGAAAGAGCAGCTCGAGCAGATCGAGCAGGAAAACAAGAAGCTCACTGAGGAAGTTTCAGCATTGAAGGTCAAGCTTACCGGGTTGTCGGATGATGATTATGCGAAGACCGATCTCTTCAAAGCTATCAAGAACCAGCATGAAGACGTGATCAAGCGAATCAACAACCTCGAAGCCACCAACATTTCCTTGCGGGAAGAAGCGCAAAAGTTTCAAGCAGAGCGAACAGCCTACAGGATCAAGGTGGACGATGAGGTCCGCGCTAGCTTGGCAGACAGTGCAAGCCACGTTTCGCAAGCAGAAGCGAACTGTGCTCGCATTCGAAACGCCCGCGACGAACTAGCCACCAAGAATAACCTCTTGGAGGCCAGCCACAAGGATTCCAAGGATTCTATCGAGCAGGCGAAACAGCTTGCGAGCGCATGCGACAGCCGCATTGCTGCACTCGAATCGGAATGCGAGCGACTGCGACTCCAGATTGCAGAGCAGCAGAGTTCAGGAGATCAAGATATGTCTGGCTTAGACGACTTGACACCGGAGCAGCTGCGCAGCAAGATCTCCAAGCTTGAGAGCCAATGCAAGATTCTGGGCAACGAACTCCCGTCCATGGAGTCAGCATGGAAGAAGGCGCAGGCGATCGCGAGCAAGAAGATCACCGAGATTGCTGCGTGGGAAGAGAACATTGCCAAGGCACATGCGGACAAGGCCAAAGCGGACCAAAAATTCTTTGCAGCCATGAAGACCAAAGGAGAACTGGAACAACAAATCCGCATCCTCCGTGCCCAGGCTACCAAGGCCACGGAAGTAGTGGCGCAGTTGAAAGAGGCGGATTCCTTGAGCCGGTCACTGGTCGACAAGCTGGAGAAGCAATGTGCGGAAATGCGATCGCAAATGGACGATCTTTCTACCCAGCACCGCCAGCTGCAACAAAAAGTCAGCGAGAATGCCATCACTTCCGAGGGTCATGTCAGCCAGATAGCGGAACTCAAGAAGGTCGTCGAGGCCAAGGACGCGACATGTCTTGCAGCAAAGCACGCTCAACGTGAATCGGAAACCGAGCGAGACAAGCTGGCTGCACAAGTGACTGGACTGGAGAAGCAAGTGCAAATCTACAAGAAGAAGAGCACGGCCAATCAAAGCTCCGAGGTGTCGACGATGGAGCTGTTGATCCAGTGTCAGATCTGCAAGAGCAAGCTCAAGAACACGGTCATCAAGACTTGTGGGCACATGTTCTGCGACCAGTGCGTGCAAGATCGACTCACCAATCGCGCGAGGAAGTGCCCGAATTGCGGCAAGGCCTTTGGCAGCAACGATACCATGCGCGTCCATTTGTGAGAGCTCTGCAAACCGGATACCCTTTTCTTATTCCCTGCATTTTGCCACATGTACATCACCACCTGCATTTCCTTCAGTACCCTTTCTTACAAGTTTACAATAGCGTTGAAGGCGAATTTTGAGGCCAAGCACGAAGCAGTGCCTGGAACTTTGGTGTTTTGCGGGTGGCTTTCTGCCAGTTTCATGGCGTTGGTGTTCGGCAGCGCAAGAGCGCGAGACAATGTACGATGATAGTTGCGATGCATGTTCAGACGACATGTGTTAGCATGTTTTACTAGATGCACGGAGTTCGTCTCTCGGTCGGCAATGTTTCCGCGGATGGGTTTAGATAAATTTCGTTGGCTCTGCGGAGCTCAGGCCTGGGATGGCCCAAAGAAAGAATGCAAACAAAGATACCATGCCCAATTTCTGTTATATGGTGTGATTTTATAGCCTTTGACTCACACATGAAAATGGGCCAGTACGTCTGGCTGGTGCACTAGTGGAAGCGTTGATTGCCAGCCAACCATATGAGAGCTGTCATTTCAAACTGAAAGCCGGATCCGGGATGTTTAAGTGGGTGGGCCCGTGAACGTAGGGATGTAAGGCTGAAGGCGCAGGGTATGACGTTCCTCGCCGTTGCCCCACGCGACAGGCTACCATAAACACCCTGAAGAAGACTACTATAACCACGACCGCAACCCGCAATAAGCTCCTTTCAGACTGCACCTCTTCAGCATAAACTACAACAGTTCCAACTTGCTACGAACTCCAGAAACCATTTACTTCTGAAAAACTTTCGATTAAGTCTTCCGCCTTTACATCAACCGCAACTACTCTACAACAATGGCCACCAACGTCCTCAGCCCTCGCGACACCAACGCGCAAGTCAAGCCCATGTCTTCCCCAGAGAAGAACGCCGAGAAGAAGGACTCCAAGAGCCTCGACTACCACCGTCAAGTTCTGCAGTCGCGCCTAGACAACGGACAGTGAGTTCATACATGTTCATATCCCACCGCGCATCACTAATGATACTCCAGAGAGCAGAAGTTTGTCTCGCCGTCTGACGAGATCATGAGTCCTGCTACACAGAAGTTGCAGGCTTTCAAGACCAAGCACGCCATGAAGAAGTAGGTCGCTTTGCAACTGTATACCAGCAATGGGATGTAGACTAACGCACGTATAGATCGAAGCCGCAGACGCTGTTTAAGAAGACAAGCGCGAAGAACTTCGAGTCGAGCAAGGGCAGCGGCACACTGATGTTCGCCGATATCCCCAAGAAAGACACAAAGGAAGAAGATGCGTAGACATGGGCTTACAGCCATCCTTGTTTAGCGTGTGCAGCATCGTTTTTCTTCTTGGGCGCAATTGTCATCTGTATACCCTGTTGCGGCTTGGACGCCTTCGGATGATAGGCTGGTTCTGGAGTTTTGATTACGGATGAATGACTACGACAATCATGACCATATATATTGATGAGACGAGACGCAATGGAACAACGTTATCATGCATTACTATCTTCAGACTAGGCCTATGCAAGTGTAAAGCTGCATGCACCCGAATGGATACCCGTCTATCTTCGGCATAGTCGCCGAGGCGCATGTTGTACCCTACTCTAGCCGCATCATCGTTCCCACGCACACGATGACACAACCATCTTCGAAGCAACAAGCCCTCCAAGACGAGATAGCCGATCTCGAGAAACGGCTACAGGATGCAAAAGCCAGACTGAATCAGGACAGTGTCGCAGCGACACCATCGTCACCCGCAAATGACGCAGGTCCGTTATCGCGACACACCCACCCTCCCAGCTCCTAACACGCATAGCCCTTCACGCGCTCCTCCTCCTCGCCGACTCTGCCCTACCACTAGGTTCCTTCGCCTTCAGCAGCGGCCTGGAATCGTATCTCGCGCACCACAAACCGTCGCCGCCGTCGGCATCACAGTTACCCGCGTTCCACACCTTCCTCCGCTTATCGCTCTCAACACTCGCAAGCACATCGCTGCCCTACGTGCTAGCTGGATATCGCACCCCGCAAGCCATCGAGACACTGGACAATGACTTCGACGCTAGCACACCGTGTACCGTTGCGCGACGGGCGAGTATAGCACAGGGCCGCGCGTTGCTGGCGGTTTGGGATCGCAGTTTTCGGGCGCAGTATAACATACCCAATACACATGCGTCCCGCGATGCTGAAAACGGGTTGATGGGTAGTGAAGTCGCTGTTAAAGCGCTCACGGCGTTTTCTGCTGCACTGCGCACTTCAGAACATATCAACGTGCATCTCGCGCCGCTGTGGGGTCTCGTTACGAGTATCCTGGCTGTTCCGCTGCAACAGGCTGCGTACCTGTTCCTCTTTTCACATGCGCGCACTGTGGTTAGTGCGGCTGTGAGAGCGAGCGTTATGGGACCGTATCAGGCGCAGGCGGTGCTTGCGAGCGCGGAGTTGCAGGATAGGATTAGAGGGCTGGTGGATGAGGGGTGGGATAGGACGGTGGAAGATGCGGGGCAGAGTGTGCCCGTTATGGACCTTTGGGTTGGGAGACACGAGAAGTTGTATTCGCGGATTTTTAACTCGTGAAGACTGATCTGAAAAGCAACATGGAAGGGCTAGCGATGCATGAAACCGGACAGATACGGGTGCTACCTCAAGCTTCCGTGGCTTGTAGGTTTCCGACCTTTCGGCTGTAACCGATGCATCAAGCCTTTGCATCCGTAGGTTACTAAATTTACGAGGTTGATGATGTTGAGACAAACCTCTGTTCCAGCCACTCGTTGTCCAATCATGACCTCGTGGGCTCTCGATTCGCGCTTGAAGAGCTCAGCTTACGACGCGTGACTACAGTGCCCCAACGGCGCGGCAAGGCAACAATGATAAGAAAGTTATCTTGACATGTTTGCTGTTTCACGAGAGCACAACTTGCTGGTTCATTATGCCCTTGGAGGGATTTTCGTGCTTACTTGACTCCACTATACATTCTCAGTGCTGGCACCATGTTCCTTCCAATCCTCATCAACTGGCTCTCAGCCACCACCTTCTCTAGTCCTTCCAACAACGAACTTCAGTCCCCTCTCCTAGAACCCACCACTAGATTCCCATGGATCCAACGCTTCGCCTCAGTCGGCGACTCCTACGCCGCAGGACTAGGTTCCGGCACACGCCTCGACTGGTCGTGCTCCCGCTACACTTCCTCCTACCCCAACATCCTACAAACCACACTCCTCGGCCCCAACCCGAACCGCACCCATCAATTTCTCGCCTGTTCCGGCTCTACAAGCACCGAGATCCTCTCCCAGCAGATACCCGCTCTCCAAGACAATCTCGACCTCCTCACCATCTCCGCAGGCGGAAACGACATCGGTCTGACACCCATACTAAGTAACTGCATCTACCAATTCTACCTGTCAGGCGAAGATGCCTGTCAAACAGCTATCACCGAAGCCCGAGCGCGGATAGCGAACGAGACAGAACTCTATCACAACGTCACTCTCCTCCTCGACGCCGCAAAACCAAAGATGAATCAACAACACGGTGTGATGTACTACACAGGCTACGCATCCTTCTTTGGCGCCTCAGACTCCACATGCGACAACGTCACCTGGGCCGTCTGGAAAGACGTAGAATGGACGAAACAATATCTCACACGCGAATTACGCCAGGAGCTAAACGACATGGTGCACGCTGTCAATGCCATCTTGTTCAAAGCCGTTAGAGACGCTGGGCCAAACGTCCGGTTCATAGATTACGACGCGGAGGTGACCAAAGCACGGGGTCGGTACTGCGAAACCCACGTCCTAGAACCAGCTCCCAATCGCAACGGCCTCGTCTTCTACGAATGGAACACAGTTGACACCGGCGAGAACAAAACGGCGCTGCAGAACTACACGGGGGGTGATGTACCGAAGCATTCGTTTGAGGGGGGTATTGCGAGAGATGTTAATAAGACGTTGGAGGAACATCCGGATTGGTCGTTTGATCCGAAGAAGGGGTTTGTGGATAAGAGAAAGGGGGGGGATAAGGGGATGGAGGGAGAAGGTTGGTTAGGCGATTCGATTCATTGGTTGTTGCCGGATAGTTATAAGAGGGTTTTTCATTTGAGGCCTAGGGGACATGGGATAATAGCGAAGCTGCTAGTTGAAGATTTGGAGAAAGAGGGGATGAGGAGGGGTGGTGAAATGGGGGGTTGGGTGGAGGAACTTTAGGTTCATTCTACTTCTTGAATGACAGTACTGGCATGTGCTTCTTCCCCCTTAACTTCTTCTCTCCTAACTTCGCCATCGCCACTCCCTTCACTATCCAACGAACCATCCCAATCCCAATCCACAACACCCCCTTCCTCCCTAACCCTCCTATCCATCTCAACAACCCTCCCCCTAACATCCCCCAAACACACTCCCAAAAGATTCTCCCCCCACCAATCCCTATAGCCCTCCGCCTCAAACGCCCTATACCCAATCCCCCACACGCGATCCCTCCTCCCCGCCTCCGCCAACTCCCTCACTCCCGTCCCCAGTAACACACTCCTCATATGTCTATTCCCATTCCCCGCTCCTTTCCCAGCATGTTCATTCCCGCCCGTGAATTTATACCAGTTCCCCATTCGTGCGACCCGGCTTTTCACTGTGGTCCAGGCGGCGAAGGAGAAGTTCGTGACGCGCTGACCGTGTTTCTTCTGCGTCTTCGGATCCGGTGTGGATAGGATCAAGCTGCAGATGTGGAGGTCGGAGAAGAAGAGGGATTTACAGTACATGTAGGATTGTTCGGCGCATGTGAAGGATAGGAACGGGTTGGGGTTGCCGGGGGAGGTGGAGGCGTGGTTGGTTAGGATATCCGATGCTGATATAGTTGCTGTGGACATACTGGAAGTGCTGGATGATGGTGGTGCTGGTGCAAGGTCGACGAGCCATTGGAGTGATGCGATGGGGATGCTAAAGGGGCTGGGGTGCCATTGGCAGAATACGCCGTGGGGCTTTTCGTTGGGCATGTAGAAGAATATTGTTCCTTTCTCTTCGTCTTCTTCGCTGGGTTTGACTTTCTTTGGCGGACGGCCGGCGGGATGGGGTTTGTGCTTTCCCATTGTGTATTATGAGGATGGACTTGGGTCGTGAGTTACTGTGAGACGAGGGAATGTAATGGAAATGAAAGAAAATGTTCTTTGGGAAAGTCGTGTGTAGAGTATTCGGAACTCATCAGGTGCTTGGTGATGAGTCGCAAGCTAGTAGTACCATGGTTTGCAAAGGGCGTAAGGGCGACGTTCGTAAACATTGTCGGAGACAGAATGACATCAATCTCAGATACTTTACTTCAACACAACTCGCAGTCTTTTCCGCTGTACTCTAGTTCTAACAATCTTACAGTCTACCCTTTCCCTTGCCTTTACATCACTTCTTCCTTCTAAAATCCGCACCCATCTTCCTAAACAACTTCCCAAAACTGCCCCTCGTCTCCCAAATCGGCAACAAACAACTAATCGCACTACTAGCAAACACCCAAATAAAGCTCACAACCACCCACGCAGTAAAAAAGCCCTTGGAAAAGATGTAGTGTGAGAAGAACATGGGCATCGGAAGAAGGAAGTCGAGGATGAAAGTTAGGAGGAAGGCGGAGATGCAGGCGAGTTTGAAAGCGCGGCGGAGCGTCGATGGGTCGTCGGGCTCTTCTTGTGTGGGGGCGAGATGGGGCGGGAGTTCGGTTGCGGTTGCGATTGCTTCGGGTTGCGTTGGGGCGTCTGTTGCGATTTTCTTTTCGCCAGAGTCGGAGAGTTCGGGGGTTGAGCTTTCTCTGGGGGTGCTGTCATCGTTTACGCCATCCAACTCGACGGCGTTGATGGCTCGGGTGATTTCCCAGTCGAAATTGTCGGGCTTGATCAGGGTAATTGTTGTTGTTACGATGAGTCCGGTCATGATGGCTGCTATATTACCGGCGAGAGTGGGATATGACATTCCTGTTGTCTCTACTGTGATCTCGCCATAGTAGCTCTTGGCTGTGCTTAGCCACGCAGTGAGGCCTGCGGCAAGGCCAGACAGGCAACCTGATATAGCGGCGACTTTGGTTTGTTTCCGCCATAATATTGAAAAAGCCGTCGGGAAGACAGCGCCGCCAATTAGCAAACCCATGACGCTACATATGATTAGTAAATAGCAACGCAATGATGTTGGGTGAGACTCACAGGAACAACCATCCCAGGTCGATCGAAGCCGCGCTCCAAATACACGCAAACACAGACATGGTCAGTCCGAAGACGCAAATCATGATGTGCGAAACGAACACCAACTGCTTTGGTGTTGCCTTGGGCGATATGTAGGCCTTGTAAACGTCGAAGGTCAGTAGCGAGGAGACAGCGATCAGCTCTGCAGATGCGCAGGACGTAACTGCCATGAAGAGGACCACCAACAGTGCCACTGCACCTCCTTGACCCATTAGTGTCTCCGCAGCAAAAGCAGCAGCAAGACCGGACGAGATTTGTCCAGAAGTAGGCAGTTCGGGGTATGTCGGAAATCGAGGGTTATCGGTCAGTGCCACAGCCGCCAGACCAAGCGTTGTCGAAAATCCAAAGGGAATAGCGAACCAAGCGATTCCTCCCAGTAGATATGCGCGTACGGCAGTCGAAGGCTTCGAAGCGATCGCGCGCTGCCAGTAGGCCTGATCAAGGAAGACAGTTCCGGAACCAGAGCACAACTGGATAACACCGAAGATCAACCCAAAGTTTGACTTCAGCGTAACATATGAACCGTCCTCGTTGCCTGCGACTGGTCGCTGAGCCCCAGCTCTTTGGAGCAACTCGTACATCTCGCCAGGTGAGCCGATCAGAGGACTGACAGCATACGCGTTGAACATAAAGTAAAGGATAATGATCATCAGGATCAAGGTGTGACTGTAATCGCAGATGAAAGTCGCTCGAAGACCACCAAGGATAACATACGCACATACACCTATCACTGTCAGTATACCACCGCCCATCTTTTTCATGTCGTACTTACCAACTGGAATCAAAAAGACAGCAGCATACACCGGCATACCCGTCAAGCTTGTGACAACCGCACTTCCACCCAGCAAAAGCTGACTGCCAACCAGAATGTTCGTCACCAACGCAAACACCATGAATACCAGATGCGCAAATGTGCCATATCGCGCTTTGATAATCTCAAGGTACGTGTGACATCTCGGTGCGTTTTGCTTGACTTTGCACGCCAGGATCGAGAACATGAGGATCTGCACCGTAGCACCGGCAGCATACCAGAACGACCCTGCGACGCCATATTGATAGGCGACTGTGGACGATTGGAGGAGCGTAGCTGCCCAAGTCCATGCTGAGACGATGCCGGACGCGATTAGACCGGGTTTGACGGAGCGGGAGGCTGTGTTGAATTCCTCGGATGACTGGGTTGAGTAGCGTGTGTACCGGTTTTGGAGGTATGAGATTCCCATCATAAGGAAGGCGAAGAAGAAACCAATGCCAACGACGACGCCTAGATTATTTAGTCAGAAGCATTGATTGGTGATAGAAAAGAGACATACCATAGCCGGCTCCCACTGGGAGAGGTACTTTCGCTGTATCTGACATAGTGAAATCTGACAACAAATTGTCAAGAGTTGAAACTCCTCAAACCCACCCTTCGCTTTGCGAGGAGGTCAGTCGGTTATATTAACATATGTTCTGAAGACTCCGACTACGACTCCGACTCCAATTACCGAGCAGGGTAAGTCGAGATACTACTGTGATGCTCAAGGAGTAGTTCGCCGCCGCGGGCCCGCGGCGTTTCCGCGGCGATTGCACGAAACGATACGGAGAGTCCATTGGTGTGATAGGGGAGACATCGTTGCACGGGATGGTAAGTGCAGCGACGATCCGACGGTATGACATGGGCGCCGCGTGCGATAAGCTAGGGTTGATGAATCTCCACATGTACCGATGTATGATCGATGGGGTTGGACGCGTTTAGCCCATCTTAGGCTACACTTGGTGTTGTAGCTCAACCTCGTCTCTCATGTACTGCAAGTTGAGATAAGAGACATACTAGCAGTGGGTCAGCCGCTGACAGAGGCTTGTTGCTGAAGCCGTGATGTCATGTTCAAGGTAAGGACGCAGCTGCCGAAAACGGCTTGTTCAACAGTTGATAAACCCCCCTGCTCGGTTAGCAATCTACCCCGCGAACGACGAATGAACCAGGGTAACGACTTGGAGAGACTTGACGGCTCCAATTGGAGTTGCGATAAGCGGAATTTGGAGATTGCAATGTATCGTGGTCGCTATGATTAAATGGACTCGTTGATATAGGAGGGTAATCGGATCTGCCACCAAGCACTCGGAGCTTTACGAACCAAGTGCGAGCATATCATCTTACTATGGAGCCGTCTCATCAAACTTTCATACCCCAGATCGTTGGGAAGAGGTAGCCAGTGATGGAATGGACCAATTGTCTGGGTACTGCAAGGAATAATGCTTTGTAGTCCCACCGTTCGTACTAGTATTATCAGACCATTGCCCTTGGCGCAGTTGTGTATAGACTTGCTGACACAGTCTGTGTCTTTACTCTCAGAATAAAGCCGTATTGACTACCTGTATGTGTGCGACGACAACCATGTTTTCTTTCATGAAACGCCGCGCAATGCCGCTAAATATCGACTTATGTACGTCCCTCCTCCTCTCAGGTCTTTGCCCCTGCAGTTCGGATCTGAAACGTAGCTCCAGGTAGTGCAGCACTTTCCGCTGTGACGGTCGCTTGGATGCCCAAACTTGCAAGACATCCTCTTATCAGACCGGCTGGGAAGTATAGAAAGGGCTGGACCCTAGCCTGGCTATTCGCGTCCCGTCCCAGCGCTACGTCGCCTGTTTGTGCTACCAGCGCTGCTTGCATAGCGGCGTCGTATTTCTTGGTATCGAATGACATGCGGCCGAGAGGCTTGAACGTGTTGTCTGTAAGGACGTAGATGCCACGATGGTTGGTCTTGAGGTTGTCGATCTGCTTTCTGAAGAGGAGTGTCCACAGATCTTTGCATAGGAACTTTATGCAATCAAGGGGTGTTGTTGGTCGGGGCGCGTCTCGGGAGAATCTGTGTCAAACGTCAGCCATGGTCTTGAGGGCCCGACCATGCGTCGAGAGTAGACGTACCGTTCGACAACCCCCAGTCCAACCCTGTACCCGAGATTCTCTAATCGATGGAATACAGCCTCTCTTGCTTCTTCCTCGTCGACCGTCGCAGTGCCTCCTCCACCTACTGGCCCGCCTTCCGTCCCTCTTGCTGTGCCCGCCGCTGTGCTTGACGCGTCATTGCTTGCGCCCGATAGTCGCTTTGGCTTTGTGGCTGATGACCCGTGTATCCATTCCTCTTCCCGGGCGGCGAGATCGGCTGTTATGCGATATGCCATGGGTACAAGCTCTATGAGCAGGAGGTCAAGACATGATGTGTTCACTAACGAGAACGTGGGGTCGACGTAGGATGTGGTGGGTTCGTTCGGTGCGGAGGGGTTGGCTTGCGCCATATTGGCGAAGTTTGAGGGTATCTGCGTCCTCAGTCGTGATACAGGCGATGGTAGTGGTTGTGAGTTTGTGCGCGACAAAGATGCGCGCCCCGATGTGGTGTGAAATGTGCTGGCCGTTGTTTGCGTCTACAATAGCTTGGATTCCGTCGTCGTCTGCTGTTCAACACAGGGTCAGATGTTCACAGTGGTAGGTGTCGGTGTGGTGTAGAGTTTATTGCGGTGTGTTGGTGGTGGTGTTGATGTTCGAGTCTAGATGTGGGCTGCTGGAGCCGCGGCCGATCATTCTTCTGCAAGGGTCCACGATGTCATAGCTCGACTGCGGCCGTAACTTCTAACTAAATAGCACAATTCCACCAGGCCGGAGTTACATTAGTCTGTCACTCGATTTGTAACCGAGTCTGAATATTCTAGAAACGATACATCTTTCGACGCAACTTAGTACATACATGAAAGCGAAGATGACAACGATGCAGTTCACTTGTAACGGGTCATTATGTTGTGTCGTGTGAACATTGATATTTTAGCTCAGATCGGCATAGATTCATGCACATCCCAAGGCACGTTCTCGTAGTGTCATCTCTCATGCCCACCATGGCGGCTCATAGTCTATCTACAGACAGGCGCATGTGAGTTTGTGTAGGAGCTGTACCGACATCCGGGTACACTCACTTAGCAGGAGGGTTCGCAACGAACTCGACGCCCTTGCTGATGTTGCCCTTCAGGCCGTCGTAGCAGGCCTGGAGAAGCTTCTTCTCTTGGTCGTTGGCGCTGCTGACAACATCGATGGCCTTCTCGGCACCGTTGGGGCCAAGCTCGATAGGCACGGAGAAGAAATCAAGACCAGTGGCCTTGGAGATAGCATCTCCGCCCTCAACACCAGGGAGGTAGACGTAGCTGGGCTCTACAATGCCCTTCTCGCCCTTGGAGGCCTTGATGACCTTCTCTGCGAAGCTGTTCGTAGTTAGCTAGTGCACTTTGGTAGAAAGTATGCAACATACCGGTATCCGGCGTAGGCCATGGAAAGAGTAGCGGATCCAGCGCCCTCCTTTGCCTTAACAACCTCGTCACCACCGAATTGCACGCGCTTGACAAGATCCTCCATCTTGTCAGCCGGGATGTTTACGCTCGGCTTTGACTGGCTGAACAGAGGTACGATGGTCTCGCCGGAGTGACCGCCAATGACGGGGATGTTCAGGTTGCCGGGGTTCTTCTCGCCGGTGATCTCAGCGACAAAGGTCTCAGCGCGGACGACATCAAGGGTGGTGACACCGAAGAGCCTCTTGGGGTCGAAGACGCCTGCCTTCTTGAGGACCTCGGCGGCAATGGGAACGGTCGAGTTGACGGGGTTGGAGATGACGAGTACGAACGCCTTGGGGCAGTACTTGGCAACACCCTCGATGAGGCCCTGAACGATACCGGCGTTGATCTTGAAGAGATCATCACGGGTCATACCCGGCTTGCCTGAGCAGTCGTTAGGTTGCGGTGCCACAACAGCAGTGTGAGTTGGACTTACGGGGAATACCAGCAGGGATGACAACGACATCAGCGCCGGTGAGGGCCTTTTGCATACCGTCCTCCTTTGGCAGGAAACCTGTGACAGCCTGTCCACCTTCAGTATCTCCATGCATATGCGGGGCTAGGGTTAGCTCATACTGCTGGGGTCGAGATGTGCGAGAGATCGGCAGCGACACCTGGTGTGTTGACGACATCGTATAGGGCGAGCTCAGTGACGTGTTGGCAGGACTTGAGGAGCAGAGAGAGGGGCTATCGAGAGTATGTCAGTCAGTTTCGGAGGCAACATAGAGGAAAAAGTCCCTGAGGTACTCTCGAGCTCGTACCTGTCCAATGCCTCCAGCGGCTCCGGCTACTACGGCTTTGACCATTGTGATGTGAGTTTGCAAAAGGGAGACGCGTTGAAAAGTGGTAGTTGAGAAGAAAGATTGAGAGAGGAGTTGAAGAGTCGGTGAGAGAAAAGAAGGCAGAAGGAGGTGGCTTGAAGTAAAGTAGGGTAGGAGCTGCACCACGCGCCCGTTCTGTTGGATCCAGGAAGGTGGGGTGGAGCACGGACCTGGCGGGGTACCGGCGGGAGTACGTCTGGGAAACGCTTCAAGCTAATGGCCGTCTAATGCCCCCAGCACAGTCTGGCTAGCTTTGTGACAATGTTAGTTTCGTGAGGTCTTGTTGAGGGCCTTGGTAGTGGACTCCAGGCTGTTCCATATACTAAGTGGATGGCTTGTATGTTGGGCTTTAGAGAAAAGATACATTCTCATGCTATCGCTGTGTTAGCCAAGCATGTACAGCGAACCTCGGTGCCATGAGCAGTCGGAGCAGGTCGGATGCCCACTAGTTGTGACGCAGGTACGGATCCGTAGACTGGAGAAGATGTTCTTTAGCCCGCGTACGGTAACTAGTACTTCGGCCGCTGACGAAGTGTCTAGGGCACTCTTGTCGGTGATGAGGGATAATTGGCAAGGTTGTCTGATCATCCACAGCAGTCCACCCACTAGGCTTCCTAAACCCCTGGATTGTCTCGGTACCATCTCTTTCTGTGTAGATCTCCAGGACATGATGCGATGTGGACCTTGGACCCTGACTGATCTTCGTCATGTCGTTTCCACCTCCGCGCTCAAGCGGCCCAAGCACACCTCACTGTAGTGTTCATGGGCAAACATGGTGGTAGTGTAAGCTGGCTGTTACTCTATCAATGGATATCTGCTCATAAGGCTGCCACAAGTTAACCGATCCGCATCCGCGGCCGTACCCAAGAAATCCCCCAAAACTCCATCTCTCAACGCCTCATAAACCCTGGGATCGTGCTTTGCCTGCCTCCATCACCTCGTCTGTGTCTTGATGGGATCACCTCATACAAGAAAAAAAGGGAACAGGTCTGGAGACTACATCAAGATGAAAACGTGTAAAGTGGGTGACCCAACGTCGGTGTAGGCTCCAGGGTGTTCAGTTTTTCCTTAGGTTAACGTGGGATTAATCCCCCAAAGCCGGCGTTCTCCAACTCAAGCATGTGATAGGTATATGATCGTTTCTAATTCTCAGGGTCGACCCTCTCGCCTTCAGCGTCGTCGGGGTCAGCCTCTCCATAGCGACCGTAACCCTGGGGATCGGCGGCATTCGGATCAGGCCCACGCTGACCACCAACTGCGTACATTTGCGGCTGCTGACCGCCCACCTGGTATTGAGTGTAGACGCTGGGGTCGAACATGGGCTGCTGTGCGTAGGCGCGGGGATCGCCTTGCATCGGACCTGGGTACATGGGCGGTTGCTGGTAGTCCTGCTGCTGTCCAAGATGCTCCTGCAGGCCATAGTCGGGAGGTGGCATGGAATGCTGAGCATGTACCGGCTGGGGCATAGCCCCGGGAGGGACTACGGCTGCTGACGACTGTACAGCTGCGTTCTGGCCTGCACTCCTCTTGTGGGGGTGAGCCTCCTCGCGAGGAACAATGTCGATGAGGAAGTCGAACATGTCCGACTTTGACAAAGCCGAGGCGATGTCGGAGCGCTGGAGAGTGCGACGCTTGTTCTCCTCGGCATGAATCCATGCGCGCATTGTGAGCTCGGTGATGAAGATGTCGCAACCCTTGGCGAAGAGGATTGGAGCTTCGGCTGAGATCATCTTGACCTCTGGGTCGGCCTTCATGACCTTCTTGATGCGGGCGAGCGGGAGCTGGTGTAGCTTGTAGTCATGTTCGTCGGTCTCGAGCTTCGTGACCTGCTGCTGCCAGTATGTATTGAGGATGTCGCGGTAGTTACCGGTGAGTCCTTGGTTGACCTGTAGGCGTCAGTTTGTGCGATCGTGGCTATGACAGATGCGAGCGCGTACATTCTGCCACGAACCGGTGAACAGCTGTGGATCGGGCGCGTGGTTCTGTGCGGCAATCTGGACCAAATATCAGCGGCTGGAAGTTGGCATTAGGCGCGGATGCGCAAATATAACGTACTGCTGCAGATGCGCCTGTGGTATAGTGTTAGCACAGGATAACATACTGAATGCGACAGCCAGAGCCGCGTCGCGTGGCACGCAGCTTGGACGGACACTTACCATAGTGGCCACCGTTGGTGGGATCATAGAGGGGGTTGCCCTGCTGGCCATCGTATTTGCGCGGCGCAGCTTGCTGGGGCTGCTGTCGCATCTTCTGCTGGCCGTGGCCCTGGAGGTTGACTTGGTCCATGGCTTGGGCGTGGTCGCGCAAGTGTTACGCGGCGGACAGGGTCTGCGGCAGTCCGAGGCGTGTCTGGATGGCAATACTTGTTCCTAGGTCGCGGGACAGTGCAGAAAGGGACGCGCGACACCCAATGGCTGCTCGAGGTCTTGCGGAGGGCGTGTTGTGAGAGGAGGGCGAGGTCGTGATTCCGTCGAAGGTGCGGTCTGAGTGGTCGGGAGAGGTGGGCGGGGAAGGCGCAGGTACCTGTCTTTTGGCGCGCAGCGGCGTCGCTGTGTGCGGCCTGCCATGGTAGATGAGCATTACTCTATTTCTCTATGGCACCAACGCTCGTGAGGTTGTTCCAAATGCGCAACTGACCTATGCTCTGGTCCGACGAATCAAATTCCAGTACGAGAATATATTCGCGGAGTTGATGCTTGGTTGGTGGGTTTCTAACGAGTCAACGAACCACAGCTAAGCAAGGGCCCCAACGTTACTCACGACGCGGAGAATTATGTAGAAATGTAGGCGAAGACAAGCTGCAGTAAAGGGCGGGTGCAGGATTCGCTCAATGTCCTGACGTAGTATTTCTCATGCTAGAGTCTCTTCATAGAGGAAGATGCTGCGATCGTCGCTTCAGCCATGCTTATATGCGCGATCTATCATGCACGTCGCACCACATCTCTCTACAAGGCCCGACAAGGTGACAGCACAGTAGCGACGCAATGTTCCTGCCGCCTCTGTCACAATTCAATCTCCATCCGGCGCAAGACTCGAACCGATCGTGGCCCATGGCAGCACACTTCACATCGAGGCACCACGCTAGAGGGACGAACCTGATCCCGCCCCAGCTGGAGTAGCATGCGGGATGTGAGCGCTATTGGTCAGGATGACGCTTTTTCATTGGCCCCTTAGACACCAGGGCCATGCCAGCGATGAGTTGTTCACCGTCCGATTCTCTCGAGCGCGCCAGAATATGCGAGCACGCGTCATAAGACAATGTGCCAAAGGCGACGGCCCAGGAATGAAGCTGACTCTGGAGCTTCATCAGCGGGCTTGACGTGGCGGATCCCAACCATCGGGACTGTTTTCGAGTGCACGAGAGACACGAAGAAAACCTTGGAACAGGGCAATCCTAGCGTGTCAGCAGAGGTGGATCACTTTCAGTCCAGCTGCCTTGGAATGCGTATGGTATGGGAGCCTGCGAACGATGTGTCGCCGCGAGCGCATCGGAACCAGAAAGGCTAGCGCTGCCGCACGGGCCGAACTGGCTAGCGCGCCGGAGCTTCTCAAAAAGTTCCTCAAATTTTCCAACACTTTCTTCCCTGACAACGCCAACATGGAGTTGCCAACGCACCAGCCGCTCCTCGCTGAGGACACCGATGAGGAACTCTCGGATGAGCAAATACGGGAGCTGCTTAGTGAAGCTGCTGTCCGTATGCGCGCAAAGGCAGCCACAGCGCAGCCCGCGAGCAAGTCGGATGCTCCATTCAGGCTGCCGAAGCTGCAGCCCGGCCATATTGCCGATACTTACGAAAAGACTGACGGCAACATCACGCGCCTAGATCACTCGAAGCTCGTCGACAAAAAGCAACAGGCTTTGGCTAACGGCATCAAGAAGATTGAGGATCCGCTTCAAATCAAGAAGCAGAAGCAAGAGGTACGTTTAAGCCACATTGTATGCATCTGCATGCCCGTGATGAAAATTATCCCAAACTTTTAGCTGAGCAGACTCGGGCGCCGTCTTGGTTGCCTTCCTGCACCACTGAGGCTCCATTAGTTCATAGTTACACTGAGGCATTACTACACTCAAGTTCTACTTTTGAAGTTGTCAGTCACGACACTAACAGCTTTCCACAGGAGAAGAAGGCCACCGCTGGCGCACAGTGGTTCAACATGCCCAAGACCGACCTTACCCCAGAGCTGCGCCGAGATCTCCAGCTACTCAAGATGAGGAACGTCCTTGACCCCCACCGCCACTACAAGAAGGACAACAAGAAGGGCGATGTCCCCGCATTCTCCCAAGTCGGCACCATCATCGAAGGCGCTACTGAGTTCTATAGCAGCCGTTTGAAGAACAAGGAGCGCAAGCAGACCATGCTGGAGGAGGTTGTCGCCCAGGAACAGGACAGCGGCCGTTTCAAGCGCAAGTACGAGGATATCCAGACGTCGAAGCAGAGCGGCAAGAAGGCGCACTACAAGGCGATGAAGGCGAAGCGAAATAAAGGCAAGGTCGTCAAGCCTTGAGACTTTCTTGGTCGCTTCTGGCCACATGCCAGGACGATTCTACACCGGGACTTTGTTTGTTCTGGACCGCGTGGATGGTATATTCTATTCTGGATTCAGGCCTCACTCTTGTGGAAGTATGCCTGCTTGCGATGCACATCTGAAAGGACATGCTGGCAGTTGCCACATTGGCCCGCTGTAACCACAGCCCTTGATCATTGGCCGTGAAGATCGGACAAGATCTGCTTTACCAGGGCTTGCATGTCCTTGGCTGCCTCCCGTCCAGCCTCCAGTACCTCCTTGTGGTTTGCCTTGCCTTGGCTCAAATGCTCAGTCAGTTCCGTCCTGTTCATGGTCTGGATCTCCGCATCGTTACCACGGGCCCCTGCCTCGAGGACAGCCACGTTGGTGACTAGACTGAATGCAAGAATACGCATTCCGGCATGTCTGGCAACGATAATCTCCGGTACAGTGGACATACCCACCACATCAGCTCCTAGCGTGCTGAGCATTCGGCATTCTGCACGAGTTTCATAACTTGCACACAGTCAGCATTTGTCTAATGCCATAGCGAAGTAGAGGGGAGGAGAAGGACTTGAATGACATACGTTGGTCCTGCTACAAACGCGTATACACCCTCGTGTAGCCGTCGTTCCTGTTTATCCAGTCCTAGTTTTGCCCAGGCCTTGTGCGTCCGCACCCTCAGGTCGAGGTCGTACGCATCTGACAAAGGTGGGAACCGTGTGCCAAACTCCTCGATATTGGGGCCGCGCAGAGGATGAATACCCACCAGGCCAGCCATGTTGAGATGCTAAGCAAAGTCAGATTGAGCTTGACGTCTCCAAAAGGGTTGACATACGTCGTTCAAGCATACGATGTCGCCTACGCGGTAAGTCTGGTTGAGGCCACCGGCTGCGTTTGTGACTTCATTCACGGGTTAGCCATTCGTCTCTGATCATCTGCTCTCTCTTGACATACCGATCATAGTCTCGACACCCAGCAATTTGCAGACTCGAGTAGCGAATGTGACAAGGTCCATGGAGTGTCCTTCATAGAAACTGCATACATTAATACCATGATTCTTGCGACAAAGCCTCTCTCATCTGTTAGTGACTCACTGTGCCCGTCCAACAAGAAGCGCTACAGGCGTCTTCTGAGGCCCAATCTGACCGAACACAAACTTTCCAGCATGTCCCACAACTAAACAAAGATGTTAGTACCCCGCATTCTGTGCAATCCGAAGGACCGCATCTGCAGCGAAATGATGCTTCCATATCTGCACTTACCAGTACTCTTGGGAAAGTTTGGAATCGTGCCGTAAGCCAATTCGACTTTTGGCTCCGGCTCGATCGTGTCGGCCAGTCCACCCAGTCCAGAACCGCACACAATGGCTACTTTGGGGTACTGCAGAGCCTCTGGCAGCTGTTGGCGCACGTACATGGCCGTTTCCATAGCGCGGGCGTAGGCGTTCGGTGCCGCAGCCATATCTGAAACTGTTTCCATTTTGGTTAGTTGGTGCTTCTTCAGGAACAGTTGAAGAACGAGGAATCGCAGAGGTTCGGTTTTGTATCAAGAGAAATAAGTTGTCTTGTACATGTGACAATTTGAGAGGGCACGACTAGGGTGCAGAGGGAAGGCGCGGCCAATTCCGATGTCGCCAAGACACTAGACGGAATCGTGATTAGCGCCATCGGCTGTCTGGAAGAAGTTCGATGTTGGACGTGGGCAGGTGCGACGATATCAAGTATGGCCGCGCCACGATGTATGCGCTCCTTCTTGGGGCCGGCGAAGAGGGCAAAGGTATTCATGTTCCAATTGCACTGCTTGTGGAGGGTCGTCAATTGCTAATGCGCTGTACAGATTACCCACGCCCCCCAACCACACACACAGACTTTCTCGCGGGCCAAGAGCTCAAGATCAGAGGAGAGCAATGAGAGGGACTCGAGAGATGCCAGAGATGCCAAGCTTATGGATCGGTTGAAGCTGGAGCTGGAGAACAGTACTATGCCACTCGACCAGCGATTAGAGGATCTTGGTATCAGTCGGGAGGAATACAGGACGTACGATATGCCGAATAGACAAGAACAACAGAAGAAGTTGCTGACAACACGTTAGTCTATACGCAAGTCAACAGAAAGTCAACCAGCGTCAAGAACAATGGGAGCCCAAGACACGCGAAGAGGCAGCGCAGAGGTGGAAAGAATTACAAAACACACCTGACCACTTGGGTCTACTCAAAGTGTACAAACGCGCTGGCCTAGAACCTATCAAACTGGCAAAGTAAGTCTCCCTTTCCAGCCTTCAATTTCCAGCTCGCAATCTAACAAAGTCCACAGGGAACACAACATCACCCTCCCCACCGACCAGCCCCCCCTTGACGCCAAAACTGCCGAAGCCCTCGAAGCCCTCCGCACACCCATCAACGTCCGCGCCGTGCACCTCCGGCCCCTGCGCCGCACCCCCGAACACGGCGTGCCCACTTGCGACCTCCAACTACGCACCTACAATGTCCGCAACCTGCTCCTCTTCGCCGATTTCGCCGTCCGCGCAGCCTACTACATGGGTCTCTGCGCACGCGGCCCCATCCCCCTCCCCCGCATAACCGAGCGCTGGACAGTCCCGCGCTCCAACTTCATCTTCAAGAAATCCCAAGAGAACTTCGAGCGCATCACCATGCGGCGGCTGATACAGATTCAAGACGGGCACCCGGATGTGGTGAAGGCTTGGTTGGCGTTTTTGCAGAAACATCAGTACCATGGAGTGGGTATGAAGGCGAATATCTGGGAGTACGAGAGTTTGGAGGATGCGACGAGGGCTGGGTACGAGATGCCAGAGGATGACTATAGTAGGAGGAGGGAGGGTAAGGTTATGGATAAGGTGGCGGAGATTTTGCAGAGGGATGGGTTTAAGGAGGCTATGAAGGGACACAAGGGGAAGGTTGAGATGAGGCCATAAGAAGCAGTGCGGTTTGAATGATGGTGCGTGGAAGAGTCAGGGATTCCGAAGGCTATGTACAAATATGTGTATAGAATCATATTCCGCGTAAAGAGGAGACATTCACGTCGTTCCTCTACACCATACATGCTGGTATAATCAAAGTTGCGGCCTGCAGTGAATCTGCTGCAGACCGCAACTTTAATTATGTATGGTGTAGAGGCACCACTATGCACGTTAAATCTATACTACCCAACTACCATCTCACCACCCATCCTTCTCCTCCCCAGCATACCTCTCATCCGCAAGCAACAACTCCAGCATCGCATCCAACAACGCCTGGTTCATTCCCCTCCCCTGTAGCGCCCTCACTTTGTTTAGCACCGGCTCCCCGTTATTAACACAGTTCCAGTAATCCCATTTCTTATCCAGCTCGACCCATGCTTTATCGATGATATCCCAAAGCTTGGGGTTCGGGTCGATAACATCGAGTTGCGGTCCCGACGAGGAAGAACCCGCAGAATGAGATGAAGAAGAGAGCAACTCAATGTGGATGGTATGTGAAGTCGGCACTGCATCGAGCGTGATGAGCGTACCGTTGCTTTCCTGAGTGATCTTGTGTGAAAGAGTCTTTGCATGTTTCTTCGTGCTGGGGGAGGTAGTGACACATCGGATCTCAGCGCCCTTCTTAAGCGTATGAGCCAGGAGGCGGATCTTCCAAGACCGGTTCTTGGGAATGGCGGGGTTTTCGGGTGTTGTAGGACCGATCTTGATGACGCCGGTGGATTGCTTGTACGTGATGGGTGTGTGTGCGAAGCGCACGGTGTCGTCGGCGGATTCCTCGTGGCCTTCGTCCGAGATGATTGAGAAACCGCCGTCGTCGACGAGGTGGCCAGTACCGTCGTCTTCGATCAGAGTGAAGGAACCGTCTGCGCCTACAGCTAGCAAGATCTCAAGACCCTCTGGGTTCGGGGATCCGGATTTGGGACGGTAGGCTGCGTCGAGTGGGATTATAGATCCTTCTTTTGCGAAGACGGGGACGAAGTTTAGAGGGCGGTGGACGGTGAGCTCGCCAGCACGGTTGTATACGATGCCAGTGAAGATGTCGACGTAGCGGCCTTCTGGGAGCCAGAGCTTCTCTGCGCCGAGATGCGTAGTCCCGTCGCGGGGCTGGGTGATAGGTGCAACGATCATTTCTGAGCCGAAGCGGAATTGATTAGGTACGTTGTACGCTCCGTCAGACTCTGGGTAGTCCCAGTACATTGGTTGAACGAGTGGTTCGTCATCAGAGGCGCTTCTCGCATTCATCGTGTACAAGTATGGGATGAGACGGTGGCGGAAACGCAGTGTGTCTTCGACAATAGTGCACGCCTCTTCGTTGAACCGCCAGGGCTCGCGCGTGTTAAAAGGATTGTTGTCGGAGTGTAGACGCAGGATGGGCGACCAGCAGCCAAGTTGTACCCAGCGAGTGTAGAGCTCGTCGTTCTTGTAGCCGTGCGTGTGACCACCAATGTCGTTACTCCACCATCCATATCCGATGTTCGATGCAGTAGCTGTGAACTCAGGCTGAAAGTGCAAGCTATCCCAGGTGATGATAGCATCGCCAGAAAAGCCGATCTGGTAGCGCTGTGCTCCTGGACCGCCGAATCGAGAAAGAATCAAGGGACGCTGGGACCCACGGCCACTATCGAGGAAGTGGAAGTGGTTGAGCACCCAGAGAGGGTCTACTCCAGGAATCTTGGATGTGTTGCCTTGCTGCCAGTCCACCCACCAAAAGTCTACGCCTCGCTCTTCATGCTCGTGGTGTACGATGTCGAAGTATGCGTCCATGAATTTCTTGTCCGTGCAGTCGAAAGGAATCGTCTGTTTAGACTGCGGGTCGATACCAAGGTATTTGGCGACTTCAGCGTATTGCTCTTCGTGAGGCCTGAATCCGTCCGCTGGATGGAGGTTCAGCGTCAGCTTCATGCCACGATCATGTAGCTTCTTCATGAAAGCGTCTGGATCAGGGAACAGTTTCTTGTTCCATGTGTATCCGGTCCAGCCATTGACACCACCAGGCAGATCCCATACCAGATGCCAGTCCATATCCACAACCGCCACGTTCATAGGTACGTCGTCGCGGTCGAAATGATCGTGCAAATCGAGATATTCCTTCTCATCGTATGCGTGGTATCGACTCCACCAGTTGCCCATGGCATATCGTGGAAGGAGAGGCTGGCTTCCTGAGACAGCGTAGTATGCACGCATGGCTTCCCGGTAGTCGCGACCATACATGAAGATGTACTGATCGGTCCTGTCGCCACCCCTGCGTCCAGCAATCCACCCGTTGTCTTCGAAGAGCATGGACTTTGTGTCATCCAAAGGAGCCATGCCCTCTCTCGACAGCACACCAGGACCTAGGTTGGTCCTGCCGTTCACACCGTCTAGTGTGCGAGTTGTTCCGCCCAAATTGGAGACTTGCTGTCCGTATGTCCATGTGCCCGTCACGTCGCCCTTGAGGTGGATCTTGAAGCCATCGGCGCTAAACTTCTTCTTGTCGTACACAACGTGGAAGCGCTTCGTTACAATCTCGATGCCGTGGCCGCGGTCCCAGACATAGAAGTCGGGCACAGCTAGTTTGCGGTTGATCGCAAAGGTGCTCGCGCGGTCTTCGAATCGCCCATCCTCAGCCCACTCAAAGCGGAGCAAGCCATCTGTGAGGATGGTAAAGCGGTACTTGTCGCCTGCGACAATAGCGTCCGGGTGCGCGACCGGGCGCGTCTTAAAGTCGTAGCGAGCTTTCGTCATAGCTTGAGTAATGAAACAGGACGAGATCAGGTAGTTCCTCTCGTGTATGCCCTCGAGGGATGTCGTGGCATTGCCCGGCGCGGTCAAACACCGACGGCGTCATTCATCTTAAGCACGTCCGGGGAAACGAAGCTCGGACGGTGTGCCTGACTAGCATCATGATCGATGCGCGTGACCTCGGTTGGGTGGGAGCGCGACCTGTCAAACCTAAACCAGCCATGCGAGGTAAGTCAGGCGACAGCTCCAAATCGGCCCTGCTACCTCTAGACAGCATACCAAGGTCATGGCAAACGACTGGGGAAGCAGAGAACAATAGATGATGTTGCAAGATCGAGGGCGGGAGTGGACACGCGACGGCGTCATTTGAGCTCGGAAAGACAAAGAGTCCCTGCAGGATTGCTGCAAGTAACCACAACGTAGCTGCAACAACATCGCACCGCATACGAGCATGCATGTCTTGAACACGAGCTTGTCGGATGACTTCCGCTCAACCACAAGAACACTGCATCACACCCTATCGCAACCTAGGGCTTCTCCCAGCGTCGCATTATCCTATTAATGGCATACAACCAGATGTACCCATGGGCTACATTCATCGCTCCAAACGCCCTGTGAATATGTTCACGTACGACTACTGTTCCCAGCCAGATGTCGACATCCCAGCGTACCGGCTATGCCCTCTGTCAAATCTTTGATTGCAACCACGAAGAAGGCTTCCTAGATTCTCTCGCAATTCCCTTTCATGTTCGAACAAGAGATCTTAATGAAGTCCAGCTTTGGTAAAACACAGGCTTCTGTGCTTCTCATGCCTCTGACGCACTTGTCGTCTCTTCCCAATCCCTCCTCCATCGCTCAGCATCTGGCTCATCTACGAGATGCAGATGCACTCTCTTGTTGATCGACATCATCGCAAGCTCAAAATTCTGCGTTGCTTGCCAATTGGTATCATGTATTCCGGTTACCGGCTCCTTGCGTAGCAGAGTGACTTCCAAGTGGCTTCGCATTGCGATGTAATGGCTGTAGCACAACATGTTCCTGAGCTGTCTGGCGCTTGGCGCATCCTTATCCGCCACCATTATCTCAACATGGGGGCGACTGCTCGATAGACGGCGGGATTTAACACAGCGGTCGACGAAAGCTTCAGCTGCCTTGCTTAATACTGGTGTGTTCTCGGGCTGATAACGGTATCGGAGACAGCGCGAGAGCCGACATCCAAAGTCCAGCAAAGGATTCGTATGTTTCGCTTTAATTAGGAAGCGCATCGGTTGCGCCTTCAGTTGCCGCATTCTGGGCCTGAAAACTTTCATGGCTTCGGTATTGATCAACATGGATGTCGCTAGTATCTGGACGGGTAACTTTTTGGAGACGAGCGTGATGGTGGAAGATTGGTCAGGCGTATCGGCACTGTCGAGAGTGTAATGCTTCGTCTTCATGTCAAGCTCTTCGTAGACCATATATCGCAACTCTGGTGGAAGGTCCAGAAATCGGAAAGAGGGTTCGGACATCTAGGTGGACGTAGTTGTAAGTAACAGAATAGGGATATTGCGGCGTGAGATGGTAATAGCTGAAGGTTGGAATTTACATGTGCTGAATTACGTGTTCGTTGTAAATGTTGGCTTCGGTTGCCTCTCTACCATGGTTCGCAGGAAAAATCTGAACATGTGGATATGTATTGACCGGGGTAACATCCTGACGGACTTACCATCACGTTTGATTTCATTCGCTAACACGAGATTTCCAGGCCGTAAAATTGCAGTCTCAGAGACACCAATGGAAGCATCGGGAAAATACAGTGAAGTCTTTAAAGAGTAGCAAGAACGATAGGAGAGCATAGAGTCATAGAATAAGCGAGAATTTGGCAAGCCAAACACAGACGAGGCCGTACCAGGACAAATACTATACGAGACCTATTCCAAGTGGACACTACCCAAGTACCGAAACTCCTCATCAATAACGATCTTGACTCTCTTCGCCGACGACCAGACCTACAGACCTACATACTGAGATTGACAAGATTACCTTAAGAAGTGGCTCTCAATACTTATCTTCATGCCCGTCATTCATCACGCCGCTATTCGAACAGACAAGACCTCTACACGAACCATAGCCACCACTCCGTCGTGCCTCGAAGTCGTCACCACGATCATCTCCTACATTTATCTCGATCTTATCCATGATGAAAGAATACTGACCAACGCCCACGAGTCACTACACAGCAACACCAAAGACCAGTATTCCACATCACTCCCAACAGATCTTAAAGCAGTAGACCGATCCATAACGTCGAGGCTCATAAAGGTAATCCTCGGACTACGACCGCGCTGAGCATGTGTATGCACAGTCCGGAAAGCCATCAAGCCTTTTCCGAGTGACAGCTACGAGATTCTGAAGCGAGGACGAGGCGGTGTATCTGACCGATGACTCATGCTCAACAGAGCACCGAGCGCTCAATCTGCCGTGAGTACTCATCGCTACGATGATGTGTGTACATATTTTTGGGGTGTTTCAACCCAACTTGTTATTGTATGAGACACAAGCCATGTGTCCGTATTCGTGCGCGATGCGTAGGGAGGAGGAGAAGACTGTAGGAATGAAGGTTCGCGTTGGGGTAGGAGGGAATGCGATGGGAGTAGAAGCCTGGATTGCGATTTACCCTGTTGTGGTGATTGTGCTGGCGGTAGTGAGCTTGGGCGATGGTGGACGGGCCCTCGAAGATACCAAGTTGCCACTGTGCTCGCGGTCAGCATGTCAGCTTGCTGCGCTTCTCGTCGAGAGATACTGGAGACCCTGAAAGAATGAGATTGCGATAGAAACAGATGGTGGTGGCGAATTCAGATAGGCACATATAGGGATCATCGCTGATATTCTGATAAGAAAGCAGCTGTGAAATGAGTCGAACTATTACTGATGAAGGTATGAGTTGCAAAGAGCAAAGTGAGCGATCGTGATTGCCAAGGGTACACTGTGCTACTGCTGCGCATCAGATGGTTGATTTCACTCCCTCCATCCTACATCAAATCTCACTCCTACTAGCCTCATCGCGACATGGCTGCTAAACCACACAGCCTCAACAACAACTGCCCCAGCCAAACAGGGCCGAGAATCACCCATCAAATACAATCAATGGCCAATCACTTCCCGTCTTACGATCCGAACGACCCACTGATGCGCTGTTACCAAGTCGCTCTCCGCAGGCACGCCACTACGCCTCAACAGACTACTCCCTCGCAGCCATCATCCACAAGCGTCATCGCGCCAGCCACCAGCATGTCACAGGACGACATACATAGGTGCTTCCTGACAGCCGCCATAAATTGTGACACTAGGGCCATGCAACAAGAGTTCCACCATCTGCTGTCGGTTGCAGAGAGCCGAAACCAAGACTGTCTATTTCTGAAACAGCTGCACGAGCAGGAGGTCGATGCGAATCGCGGCGAAATGGATTGGATGCGAAAGCGAATCCAGCACTTGGAAGATGAGATGCGCCGCATTACCTCGTACAAGGGAAAGACTGAACAGGTCCACAGCCTAAATCAAGATGGAAACATGCAAATTAGGTGACCCAACGTCAACGTAGGCTCCAGGGCATTCGGTTTTTTCCCTTAAATGAGGTGGCCGCATCAAAGGGAGGTCAGGTGGATAGATTGTATGTCGTGTAAACAAGGTCTTCCCGGCAAAACTTGGCTGTAAACGCTCATCTTGCGCAGTATTGAGTATAGAGAGAAATGGTTTTGTGGTAGTCGCAGGCACATCTCGACACACGGCATTCTCGCTCTAGGGGTCGGTTAAATTTGCCTTATGGTGGTGTAGTGCAATGGCCTGCACAAAGTTTATTACTTCTTCTGGAATCATATGGCGTTATCAGCCTCCTCATTTCTCAAAGAAAAGGGTTCAATTGCGCCATTGTTCTCTGAGGAAGAGGCTGTCGGATGGCGGCACAAAAGGTGCGCTTGCTTTTCTTCCTACCGATCAGAATGTCGTGCATGAAGAAGCACTGTAGCTACCCGTGCCTTGACTCCTTTGGGACGAACGGCTGTGCACGCCGGCTCCAGTCAGTGGAAAAGCAAAATACATATACTGAACGGTGTTAGTTCTCTCCATCAGCGAGTTCATTTTTACAACAACTGCCTCATTCGGACGCTCATCGTCCGTACAATAATTCGTGGATCGTACTACCACACTGCTAGGTGTGCATCCATCATCTGGAACGTCGGCTTCCTGCGGCAAAGTTCGAGTCAGCCCACCCGACCACGAATCATCTTCCCCTTCATATTTGCCACGACACTGCCCAGTGCTAGGAACGATGCGCAACATCGCCTCTCGCATGAAGTTTAGATGTTGGTTTAAGGTACGGATGCGGCCCGGCTGGTGCCCCACAGTTCAGGATAATTGCCATGAAACGCTTGGTCAATGCTCCGGGTGAAGCAGTCGCCGTTAAGAAAGGGTTGACGAGGTCTTCGTGGCGAGGCGTTTGTTCTGATGGTGTTGCACGCTGTGAGACATCGGTGTGAGTGCCAAAAATTTCTTACGCGGGGGGTGTAGGGCGTGGATCATCCTTGGAGGTCAGCATACTCGCGTAAGCGGCACAGCGTGATCATGCTTCCAACGTCCTTCTCACCCGGCAACGAGCCGAGGCATAAGGGTCGTCACTTGAAAAGGAACAGCGAAAGGGGCGTCCCCCCCAAAAGAAGGGCCGATGGTGGATAGAGTGACAGTCTTTCAGCTGTTTGCAGTCCAAGGCTGCAGCGACTAGTCGACAGTCACTTGGCTGGGGCCCAGGACGCTGGAATTTGGGAAGTACTACAGGCCAATCGCACTCCTTGTGGATGAGCATGGTGCTGTTCGCGTACATGCACGCGTTAGCAATCCACTGTAGATATGCTGACTGGCAAATGAGGTATGGATAGTCGTGAGGATGAGGCTAGCTGCTCTGTCTGCCAGATAACGCATGCGAGGCATCGCCAGGCACGAACAGGCGTGATCTGAACATGATGGCGAACCTGATGATTGCGCAATCTCAGCCTTATCACGGTGCTGAGCATGCGATGCCTGAGTCAGTCGCAGCAGAAGGGTTTGCACAGCAGGGACAGTTGCTCACCCACAAGTAATAGGTCTGGGCTTCCAGCTTTCTCTCGCACGGATTGCTTCAAGCTAGTCTGGACGAGGGCGTCGTGCATCTCAAGGTTCGATGCTGCGATGTCGTGCAGGCACACATACATGCCTAAGCGAATGATTGACGGCCAAGCTCGCCACACAGACATGAGGAAGTTTGCTAGAGGGTGGGTCTGTACTGCAGGTGTGAGCCAAACATTCACCATGCGGTGTCTGAGCTTGATTGGCGCAACGTCTCTTCAAAGTCCGTGGTCGGTCTTTGCGATGATTAGCGTCATTTTGGTGATGTAGGCGAGGCGGGGAACAACTCCCGGTGACAGGGATGTGCGAATGTAAACCCAGGGCTTAGCACTCACATGGCTCAACCGCATTGATGGACTCGCTAGCTACAACGTGCCCATACGAGCAACATACGTGTCCTATACGGGCGTCCGTGATGACCATGGCTAGTTGGGCCGGATGATTAAGTCCGCCAGGTGGATCTGACCGTGAAAAGACGTGCTGCTATGCAAGCAGAGGATGAATGCAAGGAAGGCATCAATTCATCGATCTGCAGATGGAGCAATCGGATAGTGGCGAGGTGATTGTCGAGGGCCTAAGCTTGGGCTAATGATGAGTGCCTTGGCTTGCGGTGTAACACCTCGGGATAATGACTTTGTACCCCGATAGGAAACACTCGTGAAACTTGCGGGAAAGCTGATCAGGAAGATGACAGAGTCAGGAACTCGACCCGCTGGTGATTTTGCGGCATCCTGTAGGGCTCTTGGTGCTCGAGAAAGTAGGCGGCGACTTCATGTGCGCATTGTCAAATGCGCTGCGCAGTCAATTTGGCTAGAGCCGTGAAAGACTTGCATTATCGCTTGCAGGTTTAGGGGACGCATGTTGTTTGAGTTGCCCAGACATGATAGTATAGTAGCGGGCAAATACGCCCCCCACATGAAGAGTTATTTTGATACTGGGAGCAGAGGGATCTTCCTTTGCGGCGTGGCAGGCCGATAGGACTGTAGGATCGCCATGCAGCTACCCGAAGGTCACGACGACAGGCAAGTCTGATGATAACTGATCAGGTCATTTCGGCGCACAAAGCGATGTACAGCAGCTTAACTTTATTCCAGCTCTTGCACACCGTTTAGTGTCTGGTTGAAATTGTCCGCGTTGTGACGTTCTCGTAGACGAGGTCCCTCGAATGTATAGTCATCGGTCAAGCAGGAAGCAGGGGCGGGTCACGAGCCAATCAGAGGAGGGTCGAGATACCAAGACAGGCACTTGTTTGGAAAAGCGCGCGCGGGAGGATTTCTATTCGGTCCGGTAATGGAGAGTCGCCCATGTCGCATCGGTGAAGGCAATGGGGCGAGAGGTGAGTTGCAGGGCACTAACATGGCCGTTGGATGCGTCAGGAGGGTGCAGCTGTAGCTTGCCGCCTGGCGCCACAAGCACCGTTGAGTGCTAGCCGAAACAACAAATGGCGAGATGAGAGCTCGCGACTAACGGTTTTGGGACGTCGAGGAGGACGTTCTGATATGGGCGGGCGTGGTGAGGTGCTGCCACTCGTGTGGTGAGGCACTTGGCGGGAGTGGTTTGGAGGGGCGACGGGCAGTGGGCGGCTGAGGGCGGCACAGTCATCAGGTCGGAGGTGGTAAGCGACACCGTTGGCCATTGTGCGCGTTTCCAGCGTCGTTTGCAGAGCCATGTTTGCAGTGTCGCATTTCCCGTTGCAGCACGTCGTTGTCGCGGCACGTCGGTGCCCGAGACGGGAAGCCCACAGTTGCGTTCATTCGGCTGCAGCCGCAGTCGTCCAAAGAAGCAAAGGGACACCCTGGCAGAGAGGCAGATTGGAGGACGAGCATGGGACGGTCACGTGGGGCCGGGCTGGGTAAGCAGCTAGCCGCAGTGGGCGCACAGGGCCGGGCAGCACATACAGAACAGAAGACAGGATCCTCAGGACACGGCGCCGTCTCCCACAGCCAGTCAGCGGCCAGTGGCAGCAGACGAGCGCACAGTGCTGGTGGTCGTCCTCGTCCATGTCGTGCGCTCGGGGGCGGGCGGCAGGCTCGAGTCTGGCAAGATTGGCATGCCACAGGCGGATCTCCAGCCGGCAGCCCCGAGCCCCTTAGCGCTTCGCACGCTTCCGCGTCTGGCGTCCCGCCGTGCGAGGCCCATGGCCCGACCAGGGTGGCAGGGTGACAGGGTGGCAGGGCGGCAGGGTGGCAGTGGGCGCACCATGGGTGGCGGTGGGTGGGCGACATGGGGGCATGGGTTCGTCGACGGCATCAGGTCCCCGCTGCATGCCATCTCAAGTGGGCCCCAAAGCTCTCTTTCACAGTGCAGCAGCAGCGCCTTCCCCCGCAGCCTGCGCAAACCAGTGACATGCCCTGCCCATGTCGCAAGCCCCTCAACTAGGGCCGCCAGCCGCTTCTTCCAGTGCGGGCCCAGCACTGCACTCGAGCTGCTGCATCGCTAGACCCTTTCCACTCTACCCGTGAGACCCTACTCCTTGTGCGACCCTGCCCTTCTTCCTCACGCACAACTTCTTCACCGCGTCGCCAGACCGCCAGATTCAAATACCAGCGACCTCATGCCATGATGGGAAGCGACTGGCATCCACGCAGGCACCCGCAGCCCGACCCCAACCACTTTCCCCAGCGCACCCTCCCCAGCTTTGCTGAGCTGACCTCGTCGTCCGACTCAGGCCTGCACCGCCCGCGTGACAACGTGCCGCCGCCGCCGACGCCCCAAGATCGTCCTGTCTCGCAGCAGACGTCGCCGTCCACGCTCGCTGCGCTCGACTTTGCGCATCCAAACTCACATTCCAGCGCCTTCACCGCAGTCAATCACGCGAGCCCGCACGTCAGGTAAGTACCCAGCCGTGACAGAGCCTGCCGCAAGCGTGCTGACTTGCTGGCCAGCCCCACCAACACCAGAATTCCACCCCTGGGCCCCGAACATCAACCATTTTCTCTCTCACTGCCCCAGGCTCCACCTGCTGCCTATAGTCCGCCTGTCTCTTCCTCTGCATCTTCGCAGCCACCACCACATCCATCCGCCAGCGTCCGCCAAGACTCGGCCATCTCCCATCGCTTTGAAATCTCCAAAGAAGCCGAACCCACTCTCCCCTCCTCTGTGCTGGCCTTTTCTTACTTCCACCCTGCTGCGGGTAATGGTCGTCAGTCTAACACGTCCCGTCCCATCTCACATCCAGCTGTGCCTTCCTCGCCACACTCTCCAGCGAGCGATAACCGCTCAAATCAGGCACCCGTAGAGGCAGGAACCCGTCATCCAAACGGTGCACCCTCCCCACCATTATCCTCAGGCCCCCACGCTTTCGCCGAATCGTCCAGGTCGCCAGAGCAGGCTCGAGACGCCAACCCAGATTCTGCATCCAGGAGACCACTGCCTTCTCCAACATTAGATCAAACAAACGGTGGCGGGCGACATCAACGCTACAACGTAAGATTCAACACCGTCTACACCTCGGAAAACATGCCGCCAAACCAGAGACCCCGGCCAGACCCCCTTCCGGCAGCCCCTGTGCCAGTGGAGACTCCCGAAGAACAGCCATCGCCTGAGCACACCATCGCACCCTCTGTGGAACAGGCCATCTTGGCTATTAGCTCTGCGCCCCCTCCTCCTGAGGATCCAGCCCAGCTTCAGCAGCAAAATACGCCCCAAGTGGAGCGATGCAAGAACTGCGGTGTCCGCTGGAAGCGGCCCTTACCCGGAGAGAACCAGTTTCGTCTGAGTTCACCAGCACAGAATATACACGAACAGACAAGACTGACCCAGGACTACATCAAACGACTGGAGAACCACACCAAGTATGCCGATGAAGCCTACGCACATTGGGTACGCCAACATCAAATGTGTCCAGCAGCCGTAACCAGTCCGTCCGACACGGAAGCTCCGCACAAGTCACGGAGCAGAAGCATAGAAGACCCTTCGCCACCTAATGCTCCAGCCTATCCCGTTTCCGCCAAGCGAAAGTCCGAGATACCTCACGAGGCCTCCAAGTATCGGAAAGTAGTAACATTCGACCCTCCTTCCAACTCGACACCGCCTGTTCGCCCGACCGCTCCAGCATAGGTCGTAATGTCTATGCCATCTCCTTCACGATTACGCTTCAGCACACGAAAGTTCTCATTCGATTCACGTTCGCATTTGCATTGGGGTTGGTGTTCCATGACAGCAAAAGAAGAGCCTCCGCTATACCCACATCCGGTCCTCTTCTCGCTTTTGACTTAGGTGCTATCCTTGGTATTTTGGTACTGTAAGAATTCACCGCCTGAAAGAGGTGGAAAGGAAAAGAATTGGCGTTATTGTTTTCGAGAGAGCCACTCCCTCTGGCGTTATGGCTGCCATGCCACTACAGCGCTCCATGATGAGCGGGATTTGTCATGTTGCTGCTCATATTTTCTGCGCGTCATAAAGCCATGTATCACACCGTGTACATGGGACGTCTTCGCATCTACGTTTCGCACCTCCTCCGCCGGCGCCCTATGTGCGGCGTCGGCAGCATGTACCTATCACACCAGCTACTACTCGACGATGTTGCTCCTATACCCAATCTGATCTCTTCACAACTGTTGGACTACTGCACGAGTCGGGTCTCCACTAACGACCCTATCACCAAAGCGCGAAACTCACAAACCTTATTCACTCGTTAGGGGCCCAGCATTCCGTACCTCGACATGGATGCACGAGCCCCGCCCAAGCGGAGAGCGTCAAAGCGGTTCGGTACGAAACCCAAAGTATCAACCAATATGGATCCGCTGAAACAGAGTTCCGGTACCGCGATCGATCTCTCCCTCAGCCTTGCACTCGGATGCGGGTTTTGTTGATATAGTCTCGTTCCTCAACTGTACAACGGCTGGCACATTCACAACTGGCAAAGCTCTACCGTGTCGACATCATTCAACGCCTCATACTTGGCGAATCAACGAATCATAGGTGAGGGAACTTGTTACAAGTTACGCTATCCGAATTACCTGCATGACTAGCTACACCCTTACATTGCTGTCGGCGAAAACGGTATAGAGTGACACGGCTGACGGCTGCCGAGCGGGGCTTCCCGAATCGCCAACGCTGTTGAACTCGCTATCGCGGCTAATCATAATTCGTCGCTCAACTTCCCCATTCCGGTACAGCGGAGTCTTTCGGCGCCGCTCGAGTTTGCCCGAGTCCGGTATGCGCTCGAATATCGATTTTTGAGCTGGATCATCGTGGACCTGAGATGTGGCTGGAACGCAGCCATGTACACAGCGTAGCATTGTCGGAAGCAGGAATACTACATGGGCGATTATTGTGCACACCTTGAGGGTGAGCAGCTGGTGCGTCTTTCGTTGTGCAGTAAAGTAAGCATGGTGTCCCTGGTTGGGAGAAACAAATGAGAAGCTAGAGTTCGACACCCACAGATCTAGCAATAGACAATGACCTCATTAAGCAGCGTCATCAGCCTCGCCAATCATCACCGTTTCGATACCGTTCTGATGGGCTTCGCCACGCATCTCACGCGACTGCCCGCTGATCTTTTCTTCTTAGCCTCACGATACAACCATGCAAACCCAATCGGTCGCTTAGAATCACCAAACTGAACGAAATGCACCCGCAACACATCCGAATCACCGGGTTCATAGACCTCGCACTGCCCTTGCAACGTTCTTGTATAAATAGTCGGCGTCGATCGCTCGGAGCACACAGCGCCTTCGGGAAACGCTGGGTGTCGATTGCAGATCTGGGCTCTAGCGCAGGCAAAACTCTCTCGGTGGGTGCTAACGGTTTGCGTCGTTGGCTGGGGACGCGAGGCCGCGGGCGCGCTCATCGAGTCACAACGCCTGGACGGTTGTTTGAGAATGTGGGTATACAATCGGCCCGCGACGTGAATGCAAACCTGCTGTACCCGGTCTTGCATCCTGGCTGCACTGCCGAAGGCAATGCTCAAGTGCCGCTGGGTATACTTCGGCACTATACGGCATCAAGACGGCCGCACGCCTACGTCATAGAATGTGCAAGGGGCTGTTTGAACAGCAAAACTTTACCATTAACGCCGCGTGGAAACTGTCCGCCCGACGATGCAGAGTCGCAACTGAAGCCACGTAGCCATCGGGAGTCGACCCAGAATTACGGCTCCAGTTCTTAGCAAGTTTTCTGCACAAGTCAATCTTCTATGCATGAACCTGGACGCTCTAGACGCTACATTGTACCCACGCGATCCATTCCTTCCTGATACAGTAGCAGCATACAGATGCCATTCATATCCATTTCCGCTTCCCCAGCTTGGCGATACATCATCGACCGCGGGAATGCACAGACAGTAATCGTAACCGTCCTCCCAGTTCCGTCAGTCCCAGCGAAACGCTAGCCGCAAGAGCGTAGCCTTGGGTGGAGTAGCCCCGACTGGCGCTGCAGACCAACAGAGCACAAGCCCCCTTGGAGTTGAGTCGCGGGCTCTCCCTGAAGCTCGACCCATCCCATTGTTTGATTGGCGCACCAGCCACCACGGGCCAGAACCAAACACTCCAGTTCTTTCGCTTCGCGCGCAAACTCACATTAAGTCTGACTCGCCATCCGTTGCGGGATCACTGGGATGTCTTGTGCGCACCTCACCTCACGTAAGAAACTGCCGTTCAGGCGTGCCGGCGAATTTCCCCCGTTGCCTCCTGCGCGCGTAGGCGCTGACTCGTGGCGCAGCGAAAACCGCCCCCTCACAGTCAGTAGTGGAGCGAATTGAGGGATCTGGAATTGAACCCCCCGCCGTGATCACAGGACAAGCCGCGTCTGCAAGACTACGCTTCTCATCACAACCGTGGCAATGACAGCTGTCAAAAGACAGGGCCTACTATGCAGCCAGGTCGGAACAGGCAAGAGACGGGTCACGGTTGCATTGGGCCGAACGGCGGTCATTCTCGTAAAGTGGATCAGGCACGGAAGGATCCTTCTTCGTTGTCATCACGATATATTGTCTATATGTGACGCTCGGTATAGCTCCCAAGATTGCACCGCAGTACGTCGCCTGCAAGCGCGGTGCCTCGCTTGCGACTGATAAAGGCAATATTCGCCGCCAACAAGCCAAGCAGGGTCGAGAAATACATGTCATTAACGGGGATACGCAGCGAATCGGAAGTGGCGGCAGCGAAGCATTTCTTCGCAAGTTGGCAGATACTCCACACTCGAGCATGTGGGCAATTGGACTTGAAAGCACGTGCACCCGATATCGTGAGCGTGTGAGACAGCATACGAACAGCGACAATGCTGCAATTACCTCATTTCGATGTGCAGGACGTAATTGGTCGGGTCGTACCTTCTAGCCAGCCAATGCTCCATATAAACGGCCAGCCAGACGGCTGCGGAGATAAAGAAAGCTTAGGCCCGAGGGCAGTACCCACTCTCCAAACACATTCATCCATCCCGTGCACACCTCCAAATCGGCTGTGAAACCCATCATCGCCATCATCCGCCATACCATTTCAGCGACTGTGCCACAAAGGAGATGCGCTCATAGGATCCTCGTCAGACGGATGTCCGCGCATACCACACAAGACGTGGATTTAATCAAAATGCGGTAGTAGGACCCGAATCCAAGAGAAGATCCCATCATGATATAGGAACCTCGCAAGCGATTATACACGTAGATGCTCCCGCGCTTGCATTATGCAAGGGGCTTTCCCCAAACAGCACGTTCTGCGACGGAAGGCAAAGTTTGATTTACCGACACCGATATAGCAATTGTAGGATGGGCGACTAAAGTATAAGGGTCCATTGGTACCACCCATTCACGATATACCGGTGTAGGAATAGGTAGCGCGCGCCGAACCAGCGGATCCCAACGCTCCCTCGCCCCTCGACAGTTCGGAGAGAGCATCACGAAGTAGGTAAAGTGCGAGGCTTCAACTCTTTGCTGTGAGTGGCTGGACTACAAGGCCGAAAGATGAAGCTGCCAGGGCCAGACTGAGGATCGATCCGGCCCCTGCGTTTCTCTCGTCTCGGTGTTGGTGTTGGCTCGAGACACCCTTCATGTTTACCCATACACATATCACACAGATCGTTGCACGATGCTCATCTTGGTCTCGCACCTTGCGGACCCAAGCTGCAGGTTTGCTTTTATTCGCCCTGGCAATCATGCAGGAGCTTGTCGGTTACCCGCTTTTGTGGTCCTTGCTTCTCATCCTATTCTCTCACCTCCGACTGAAGTTACAGCTTGTACTTTCGCTTTCAACGGAGAGAGGTGCGGTACTGAATCCCGTGGTGTCACACACACACACACATATGCACATACATATGAGGAGGGGAGTATGGTACACAGACCAAGGGGAAGTCGAGTGGTGATGATGCATGGAAGTATAGATTCATGTATGCATCTTGCGCCGCACGCCGTGTTGTATATCCAGTATCTTGTATTCGGTTCGGGCGGGAAAATCCAACTTCCCGATAAGGCGGATCACATGATCGGGTGACGAGATCTCGTCTTTTTTCCCTTTCTCGTAATCACATGGGACATGGTACCATACTCCAGAGTAAACACCACACCACCACCTACCAACAGTAAGATTCTGAGCCCCCCCCCCCCCCCCCCCCCCTCTTCCGTTTGTTTTCGCCATCCACCGAGCGTGACCGTCCACACCCCGCTTTCGGACCCCTCACGCTAGCCCTCCAGCCTGCTCCTCTTTCCCCGGCTTTTCCATGGCATAGAACAACAATGATTAGCATTAGCCTGAAAGAAAAGCTCAAAGTTTAAAATTGCCATGTCACTAGAATGTCTAGTCAAATAAACGCCACCACCTGGGTACGCCACGCAAACCAGCCGTCGCCTCGCCCTTTGCCGTGCATCACCAACCCGATCTCGTCTCATCCTGCAGCTGCTTCTCCAAATCCTGATCCTGATCCCTGAAACCCCTTGTTCCCAACGAACGCCAATCTCTAAATTCCCGTCTTTGATAGTATTGGGAAAGTGCAGGAATCCCATGTTTTATTTGCCTTTTCGCTGTTCGCTACACCTCCCCTTCCCCACCTCCCTTGCTTGCTTACTTGCTTCTTTCATCCCCTTCTTTTACGTTTAACCTTTTGTGTCCCGTCCCGTTGGTGAGCCACGTATGTAGGCTGACTTCGCTTAGCAGGGATGGTGAACGTTGAGAAGCTGGATAGTGTGGCAGGTGGTTTGTTGTATGATGACGATGAATCAATAAACTATATCACCGCCATCTCACATTATCACCACCGTTGTCCTTATCTTCGATTCAGCAAGG